TTAAGAAATTTTGTATCGTACTATAATTACCTATTTTGAAAAATAGTTGCGTATTTTATTTTAAAAAATAGTTGCCTATTTTATTTTGAAAAAGAGTTGGGTATTTTATTTTGAAAAATAGTTGGCTATTTTATTTTGAAAAATAGTTGGCTATTTTATTTTGAAAAATAGTTGGCTATTTTATTTTGAAAAATAGTTGGCTATTTTATTTTGAAAAATAGTTGGCTATTTTATTTTGAAAAATAGTTGGCTATTTTATTTTGAAAAATAGTTGGCTATTTTATTTTGAAAAATAATTACCTATTTTATTTTGGAAAATAGATTCGATTTTATATTTATAAAAAATAATAAGCGGATAACTAAGTCAATTCTAAATCCCGGCCCCCGCAAAAATTTTTTTTTTAGCAATTTCCATATTTCTCCCACAATTTTTATATTACTCCCACAAAATACCGAATTTCTCCCACAATTTGAAAATTTTGACCTGGCAACTCTGGAAGGGAGATTAGTATATTTAATGGGAGTTGAAAATTTGCAAATAAGAAAAAAAAATTAAATCAAATGATTTATTATAATTTGCAGGTTTTTTTCTGTGTTGTTTTAAATATAGCTTATATTTGGAGTTTGCTAAATGGCATCTCTAAAAAAAAATAAACTAGTTTTATTTTATTCATTATTTTTGATAAGTATTTATCATTACTTGTTTGTGATATTTATGTATTTTTTAAATTAGTTTTATTTTCTAATATGACTTATTAATTCTTGCGTTTGTAATGTCATATATATAAATATCATTTAAATCTCTTTTCAAATTTTTTCTATATATTTCTTGCATAATCATTAATATTTAATTATTAAAAACGTAACATTTACTTGGTTAAATTTTGTAAATTACTGTTATGTAATTTTACTTATATCATAAATAAATAAAAGTAACTAATAAAGTTGAATTCTACCTTATTATAATTATTTTATTAAGATAGTTTTAAAATTATCTAATGTTATATATCATTTGTAGCTTAAATATTTCCTCTAATAAGAACTTGCTAAAATAATTATATATAAAATATATTAGGGATGTGCCGATATTTTTTATCGGATCGGGCCGATATTTCACCCATTTTAAAATATCGGTTATCTGCCAATTATATAAAATTTGATCCAATATAAAATGGCTTCTTTAACAAAAATAAAATGTTATAAAATTTTTTAAAAAAGTTATATCTAAAATCATTTATTTTTATAAATAAAATCGAAATCCATTTTTATGTATATTTTTTTAATAATAATAATTAATTAATTAACATTCTGCCATATTGTTATTTTTTTTGCGCATTCTGCTTATAAAAGTGTGCGAGATTCTCTTCAGAATCTGTTTTTGGTGAAGCTGGTGATATTGACGTTATTAAAGCCGTAAACTGACCTCTGATAAATTAGAAATATTGGTATTTCTAAAAAGAAATCTTCGATATATGTTAAATATTATTTTAATTATTTATTTCAAATTTCATAATATAATTGTTTATTACTTATTATGTATATAGATTAATGTTATTACTTATTATATAAAAGTGATTTAACAATAAAAATATTTTATACACTTTTAAAATTGCAACTGAATTGAATATAAACTACAACTGATCATTATAATATATTTAAATGAAATAAGTTATGGTAAGTTAAATTATAGATGTTATACTAATAAAAAGTATATTATTAAAACCGTTGGTATTTTTACGGAATACAAAATTAGATATAATATCGGATCGGTAATCGGCCGATATCAATTTAATATCGGGATTATCGGATCGATCCCTAAAAAGTGGTATCGGTACACCATAAAAAATATATATCCAAAATGATTTTAATTTGACAATCAGCCATCCTATAAAAAATTTTAATAACAATTATCTAAGAGGAACTTAAGTATAGGTATTATTAGGTTAATAATTATAAAATAAAAATGTAATATATACTTTAATATGTTTAACAAAGTTTGTAGAGGAGTTTGTTGAACCTTTAATAACATTTTTACTTGTGCAATTTTGACATTCAGCTTGAACCTTGTCCTTTTTCACATAAATTACTTTATAAAATTTTCCATTTAGAATTTTAAGATTCGCATGAATGTTAAACATTCTACAAATTAAAAAAATATTACATATAAAATATATCCTTTACTTATTTAGTTTTGGTGTTGTTATTTTTAAACTATCTATCTTTATGACCTGTAAAATTTTCAATAATTTTGGTTATAAATATATTTAAAATATAGCGGGAAAAAATAAAGAAAATAATACAAGATTTCACGATAAAGTTACATTGTATGATATGTAAATGTTTTATAATATGAATATTAAAAAGAATCTGTATCTGTATCTTTTTAAAGAAAATGAAAAAGATACAAGATTCTTTTCAAAATAAAGGATCTTAGATACAGATACTAGTATCTTATTAAAAATGTCAATAAGATACTGAGTACAAGATACAAAAGGATCTTGTATCTTGAATCTTAGATACAAGTATTCGCGGTACTGCCCAACTCTGATTATGATTAATTGCTTTTTAGCAAGACAATTTAGCAAGACAGTTTAGCAAGGCAGTATTTAGTCATACCCGTGTATAGAACACTAGAATTATCATTTTAATTAATAATTTGATTTTAATTATTTAAAAATTTTAAATTTCATATTGGCCTATCTATAAACTATAAAAATAAAAATATTTTTATAAATCCAGTATAGAATTGCCATGTCTCCCCCCATCAGCAGGAGGATCCCGCAATTTTTTAGTTTACACGCAGACATCTCTCTTACGCAAAACGACCGCAATTGAATCTCCCGCAAAAATCTACCGCAATTTTTTAATTTCTCTCTAAATTTTTTAAAAAGTTTTAACGTTTTTAAAGGTCCTTGAAGTTGGCCCCACAATTTTTGATTTTCAATGGTTTATCAGTTGGTGTGATTAGTACCCGATTTGTATCGTTTTCAGTTCGATTTGTACCATCACCGTTTTTGTTATATTCAAAGAACAAAATGGGGGGCCAACTTCACGACCGCCCCCCAACTTCTGAACTTAAAAATAAAAAGTGAATAGGTCGATAGAGAATGATTTGTACCGATTTGTACTGTTTTCAGTTCGATTTGTACCATCACCGTTTTCCAGCTATTGACCGTTGAAAATATGGCGCAAAAAATAAAAAACACTCAAAATTTATTTTTTTTTAAAATTTTTTTAACGTACAACGGTAGAGAATTTTTTTCTCTTCCATATGATGCCTCAAATTAAGCTTTATCTTCATTATTTATTTCGGAAATCAAATTTTAAACCATTAGCGTGAAGTTAGCCCCCCCCCCCCCCGATATTCAAAATTTGAGATTATTCAAATTTTTAAAACGGGATTGATTTGTACCGTTTCAAACTCGATTTGTACTATTACCGTTTCCCATCTATTGACCGTTAAAGATATGGCGCCAAAAATAAAAAACACTCAAAATTTATTTTTTTAAAAAAATTTTTTTAACGTACAACGGTAGAGAATTTTTTTCTCTTCCTAATGATGCCTCAAATTATGCTTTATCTTTATTATTTATTTCGGAAATCAAATTTTAAACCTTATATTATAGAGTAAAGTTAAGCCCCCCCCCCCCCCCCCGATATTCAAAACTTAAGATTTTTCAAATTTTCATTGTCTGAACAGTAGATATAGTGTTATTTTTTTATTAATGATTCAACCCATACAATACAGTAATCATAGTCTATGTTCAATTTAATGTAACCATTTCAGCTTCAAAGGGAATTGAGTGGGATAAAAATATTTAGTATAAAATTGGATGATCCTTTGCTCTTATAAATTGCAAAAGGATGTAGATATATACAATCAAGAGTGGAATAAAATTTTCAATAACCTAATTGTGTGATCTTGGTTTTTATATTTACAAGAATAAGGAATTCAATATATCTAATTGTGTGACCCTTCACTTAACTTTGGATATGATATACTCAACAATTTAAAATAGATCAAATGTAACCATTCCAGTTTAGAAGGTATATGTGTAAGTAAACTTATAATTGCAAAAGGAAGCGTAGAATATTATAATAAATCTAATTGTATGGTTATTTTATACTTATTGAGTGTACTCAACAATTTAAAATAGATCAAATGTAACCATTCCAGTTTAGAAGGTATATGTGTAAGTAAACTTATAATTGCAAAAGGAAGCGTAGAATATAATAATAAATCTAATTGTATGGTTATTTTTACTTACTGAGTGGAATAAAAAATTTTCAATATAAAATTGCATGTCTCTTAATCCTTATAAAGAATAAAGATATTCTATAATGTAGATATATACAATCAAGAGTGGAATGAAATGTTCAATAACTAAATTGTGTGGTCTTTTAGATCTATCTGATATACACAACAAAGTTAAAATAGATCAAATGTAACTATTCCAATTTAAAGATATGTGTAAAAAAAGATGTACTTATCTACATTATAGTTAATGAATGTTACTTCCTTAAAAGGGATTTATAGATTTTTTATTTTAATCATATTTATTTACAGATTCTATGAACATTAAATCTCAATAGTGATAGTAATCATCAAAACTTACATTAAAAAATTTAAACTTAAAATCAGCCATCACCCACCGTTAAAGTAATTAAATTATACTGTAGTTCTCGGGTATAGGCTAATTTTTTACCCCACTCCTTTTTACTAAGCCTATAGAGGTCTAAGCAGAGATTCAAATTTTTGTATCGAAGTATATTTACATACAGATAATTACATTTTTATACTTCGATACACCATTTCATATATATAAATACAAGTATTTAGACTTTAAAAACTCTTATAATTATTAACATCGTCTTTTTTTTAATACCAGATAAATAATGAATGGCATTATTTCGATAAATTGCTCAAATATTTATTCGCACATGTTTTTTAAAAAATTTGCTTTTCAATGGGTTTTATCATTGATTATAATTCTAAAAATAATTGTTATGAACGCTGTTTATTTAAAATTTCATGAAGAATATTTTCAGACATATGTTGATCATTTTAATTACACTAACAATCAAAAATTCAATTTAAGATATTTAATTAATGATGAATACTGGGACAACAAAGAGGGACCTTTATTTTTATATACTGGTAATGAAGGTGATATTGAATTATTTTCAGATAATACACGCTTTATATGGGACCTTACTTACAAATTCAAAGCTCTCTTGATATATGCTGAACATAGATATTATGGTAAATCTTTGCCCTTTGGACCCAACAATTCATTTATAAAAGAAAATATGATCTATCTTACATCAGAACACGCTTTAAATGATTTTGCCCTTTTAATTCATTATTATAAAGAGGATGTGATGAAAAATGAGAATTTAAAAGTCATATGTTTTGGTGGGTCATATGGAGGCATGCTTGCAGCATGGATTCGAATGAAATTTCCAAATTTAGTTACAGGATCAATAGCTGCATCAGCTCCACTATTATACTTTTATCAAATGTCACCTTGTGATACTTTTGTTAAAATTGTTAGTCAAAATTTTAAAAATGAGTCTGATTACTGTTTTAATAATATTAAAAAATCTTGGGAAATAATTAATAATTATTTTAAATTCAATGACACTAAAAAATTAGCTATCATAAAAAATATTTTTGAAATCTGTAACATTTCACAACTTAATTTTTATGATAAGGAAATATTTAAATCATGGATCCAAGATGCATTCATTTCAATGACAATGGCGAATTATCCATACCCTGCTAACTTTTTAGGATCCATGCCAGCTTGGCCTGTTAAAGAGGCATGCAAATTTTTAAATAAATCTTACAATGGTTATGATTTAATAAGCAACAATACAGATATATTATTATTAAAGGCACTTTATCAAGCTATATCAATATATTCAAACTACACTGGCTCAACTAAATGCAATTTAATCAATTCTGATACTTCCAATGATTCTTTTAATTTGTTCAAAAAAATTTTTTTGGGAAAACCAAATTTAAAAATTGGGCAACTTTTTAAGCTTAATGAATTTCAGGCATCACCTGCTTTAGGTTATAACAATTGGCTTTATCAAAGTTGTGAAGAAATGGTTATGCCCTTTTGTTCCTCAAAATCAAATATAAATCATAATTTAATGGATAGTAGTAGCATGTTTGAACCATCAATATGGAATTTTACAGCCTATTCATTAAATTGCCAATCAGCATTTGGGATCATACCTAGACCATATTGGTTATCATTGTATTATGCTGGTTCAAAAGATAAAAATCAAAATATCTCTATTATTGCATCGAGTAACATCATATTTTCAAATGGACTGCTAGATCCTTGGTCAGGTTAACTAATATTAATATTTATATGTTTTTTTTATTAACCCTTGGGAAATAAAAAATAATGGGGTGAATATGGACCCAAATTTTAAACTGCTATATCTCAGTCATTGGTTTATATCAGAATATTTATAAAAAATATATTAAGATATAATCTATCTTTATAATATAATAATTATTTTAAAATTTGATCTAATAATTTATAAAAGTTATATAAATAAAACCTGTTTAATTTGGGCACCATTGGGACCAAGATTTGTACTTAGACATATCCTAATTTATCAAGACTTATTTTACTTTAACAATTATTTTAACATCTGTTATATTCTTAGTTTAACTTAAACTGAGATTATGTTCAACCATTTCAAATTTTTATTTATTTTTCAAAATCATGAGTAAAATTATGTATATATAAATTAACTTATATAGGTGCATGGTTGGTATCAAATTTTTTTTAAAAGAATATAAATAAAATAAAAGGTTTTTATAAATTGTGAATTGCAAAATTATATTTCAAATAGGTTATATTCTATTCGAAATAAATTAATTTAAATATTTATTCCCTGCACATATATTAATATTTTATCTCACAAAAATTTAAAATTTATTTTCATTTTTTTAAACCTTTATCATTCAAATAAAATTATATTTAATTTATTTACTAATACCTATGATTATGAAATTTCTAGATTGTATAAAATATTCAGATTTCTAAATAGACCGAATTTGCTGAATATAATTATTTCTGAGACTTCTTGTGTCCAGGAAGAAAGAAACTGCAAAAGCCTGCCAAACAAGATGATGCCTTTAACATCAAGCGTGTTCAGTATTTTTTAAATATATATAAGAGCCCATTACAAGTGCCCCTGAGAAATATCATGGCCTGAAACATACATTCCACCTGAAACTTATACATTATTAGATTCAATAAGACATCCGATTTTATTCATTGATATATTAATAATTTATATATTACATTGCAATATTTTTCAAATGGATTTGACGGAATTTATGAAAAGCAAATATTATTATATTACAATTAAAAAACTAAGCAATAATATGGACCAAGAATTTCTCGAGATTTATGTGATTGTTGAGGCAAAAGTGAAATTATATGATTTTCACAGCCTCAACTTTCACCAACAACAAATCTTTCTAATATTAAGTTGGATTAAATTGAGGAGTTCGTATTCCACTTTTGGATACATTTTTGACTCAAATCAATGAACGATTATGAATCATCAAAGTTCCATCCAATTTTCAAATACTATATCTTATAACTTCCTCTAATCTGAGGATATATTAAATCTTGATATTGAATTAAATATTTAGTTAAATTTTATTATAATAGTATCTGAAGGTCAATTAATTTTAGAGTTTAATCCTGATATGAAAGATTAATTTTTGTAGATAATCATCCAAGAATATATTTTATGAGTTTTTCCAAATATATTAAAATTACTATATATTTTATTTTGACAATTATATTAATTAACAACCACAAATGAGAGGACCTTTTCTTTGTTAGAAAGAATAAAAATTTATCTCAAAAGTACTACATCTAAAAATTGATTGAATGGACTAGGTTTAATTAAAATACACTCAATTTTAATTCAATACGTAACAAATTATAATTGGCGCAATCGCAAAGAAGATTAAATTTTCGATTTTACTGTGATATACATACTGGTTTATAATATTTTTTAATAGTTTTGTATTCGCTCATAAATATTTCATATTTTCTATTACTTTATTATTCGTGTTCAAAATTATCATATTTTCAAATATGATTGGTTCTAACAAATTTTATATGGTGATTAATTCTAATAAATTTTGGCTCCAATCATTTTAATATAAACCCCCCCCCCCTCCCTCTTTTTATGAAAATTCCTGATCACGCGTCTGAACTCATATAAAATAAAATTAAATATATGTCATATGGGGATTCGGAATCTCAATTTAAAAACATTTACTAGTATAATTGATTTTAAACCAAGAAAAAATTATAATGATTTTAACTTTTTTATGTCTTTTATATCTTGTAAATTTTGAAAAATAAATATAAATTTATTAATAATCTACTCTAATCATAAAAATATTAATTTTTATAATTATGACTTGACAAAATAACAAAAAAATGTAACAATGAATGCACAAAATTAGCTTCCCCCCAAAGAATAGATATATATGACAGTAGGTAAAAACCATCCAAGGTTCTGAGTGCTTTAAAAATCTTGGGGTCTGGATCCAAAAACACTGATAGATTAGAAACAACGGAGATTAAAGTTATATTAGGAATGTTTATTATACATTTATTAATTTTCTTAATCTCCGCTCTAACCAAAGAATTAAGGCTGAAGGATGGTTCAAAACTATCAACGTAAGTATAATCCCAATAAATAAGAATAAAAAAAAAATCAATTTATGAAAAAATAAGATGTTATCTTTGCTTGTTTATTTGGTACAAAGTTTTATTTGATAGGATTCGATGATGCCATCTTTAGATTTATAAATAATGTGAACAGTTCCTCTATAAATATTAAATCTTTTAGCACTCTTTGAGTACGATGATTTAGAAATTAAATAATCTCTTAATAATTTTGTTATTTAACATGAATAGTTTTAAAAAGATGATAAAATTTTATAATATAAATGAATGAATGCAATAATATAACAATAAATGTCCATTTTATGTAAGTCTTTTGATAATAAGAAAAAAAATTAAAAATCCGCCCTCTTTAGATAGTAGTCAACTGCCCAATTTATCAGGACATTTTCTATTAGAAGTTTTTGGTCAAATTAGCTAGTCTCCTGAATTATGATCCCAAATTAAATAGGCTTCATTGTATTTAAAAAGTATTTTACATAAAATAAATATTAATTTTTATTTTATCTTATTATTAATAACAAATTAAAATGATTTTTAATCCCAAAATTCTTATTTACATTGAAATTATAAATTAAATTTTTTTTGAGTTGATCAAAATTGATTAAACACTTGTCAAAAGTAAACAAAATTTTGAATATATATTGTTTAGCCAAAATTATTAAGTTACTGAAAAATCCATATCATAATATTGAAAGATTTAAATACATTTTTTAAAACACTATTGTGTCCCCTTGAATGTTCTCAAGGGTTAATATTCAACGCATATGTTTAATTTTAGGTGGAGGTATATATGAAAATGACACTCACAAGGATATCATATCAATAGTTATACCAGAAGGGGCTCATCATTTAGATCTAAGGGAGCCAAATCCATTAGACCCAGTATCTGTAATAAATGCAAGACTCATTGAACAACAATATATTCAAAAGTGGCTAGCAACATCTAAAAATTACAATTCATAATTTTATATGATAATCAACAATGAAATCTATCGAAAACCATAATATATTTTTATAGTTTATTAATATAAAATTAATGCAATTTATATTATGGCATATGATTTATAAATATATCACTATTGTATAAAATGCCAACTTTATATTTTAATAATTAATTTATTACATTATGTACACACAAATAAATTTTATAGGTATATAATGCACATATTTAACATAATTATAACAAGGAAAATTTGTTTTTATATACCATGATACCAACCCAATAAGAGAAAATATTAAGACTGAATTTAAAAAAAGAACCCTGCATTCATATTTAGCGCGAATTTACGGCCAAATTTATAAAAATAAAGCATACATATTTTGTATACTTCACCGAAAATTCATGCTAACTGAATTTGGAGTTATGAATGAGAAATAATACATGTATAATTTAGAAATTTCTGCGAGCATAAGAATCCTTGACAATTTCGACAGTTAAATCCGTTACCATAGGAGACAATTTGTCAGTGACATGTGCCGCTACCAATTGCTCGTCAGCGTCTCTTTTGCATCTTACCTTGACCGTTCCTACCTATTTATGGGGCAAGTTAAATATTACGGAATAAGTAAATGATAAATTTTTCTAAAACATAATTTAAAAAATTTAAACGTAGCCATAATTTTTTTTTAAAATTTCATTTAAAAAATACCGTATGCCCAAACGAAAGCACCCAAAAGTGCTCGTTGGTTAACTCCAAGACGCCATCCAAAATGGACGCTTCCCGGAGGCATCTATCCAGTTGTCCTATGGTATAATCGGGGCACAAAGTTTGTAATAATATTTTGGCCGTACTTTTAGCGATTGGGAATAATGTTATAAAAATAGCCAATAATATGAACGTGCAACATATAAGATCCATTATAGAATTATTTATGTTAATTCTGTGCGGGGTTACAGACAAAGGAATGGTAGTTAAAGTTTCCTCGGGACCTAATGGTTTAAGGAATACCATTTGTGAAGGATGTGAATAACAAAATTTGAAGATCACGTAAAGGGTAATGGCGGAAAGAGAATTGAGAATGTTGAAAGGGTCGTTTATGTTAAAAGTGCTATTGGGATTATCTTTGCTGTTTTCTTTGTAAAGCACTCCTGTTTGTCGATTTAAAATTATGTGTGGTGATACATACTTTTGCATAAAACTTGGTAAATAATTGCATATGCTTTTTCATTAAAAAAAAAGGTTAAAAATGAATGTTATATGTAAATTAGTATTTATAAAGTGTTGACATTCTTTTGCAAATGGGTCTTTGATTCAGGTGCCTAACTATATTATTCAAAAAAGGAAAAAGGTTTGATTAAAAATGGAAAAAGTATGATCATAATCGGAAAAGTTTCAATTAATAATAATTAATCAGAGACCTGCAGAGGTACTATTTGCATGGCATGGCCCGGATTTTTTATCAAATATTTTTTAGGCTCAGCCCAGGTTTTCTAAAAAATATTATATTTATTTTTATAGCTAATAATGACGATTTCAAATATTTGGTAAAATATATGGCCTGGCCTGGATATTTTTTTTAAAAAAAATTCAGGGTATGCAGGTCTCTGATAATGAATTGTCATTAAATTAATTGGTTATCATCAATTTATTTTCTAATCTCTTTAATTTTATGTCATTCTTAAATCATCTTCAATTCAATTTTTTTCCCCTCATTTTTAATAATTATTTTTTGTCTTTTAAATCCTACTAAGTTTGCATTCACCTGTAAACAAGATTTGCAGGCTCAGTAAATTGGATATGGCCAATTTTTAAATCTAGGACAAGACAAATTTATTTCTCATGATTGCAATTAAATATAGTGAAAAAGTGATAAATAGAAATGACAAAAAATAGAAATAGAGAATTAAAGAAATGGCAGATATTAAAAAAGGCTTAAACAAATATAGGAACAACAAAAAATAAAGACAAGAAAATAAATAAATAAATTTAAAAATAAAAAAAGGATTTTTAACATGGCAATAAAAATTATAATGATTTTATTATGCATAAGTCAGTATTTAAAATTAATTCATAGCTAATTTTGGTTAGTATGATATAATAAAAAAAATTATAAACCAGATACCAGCAGACCCAAACCTAAGCCTGGCTCGTTTTAATTTTTTTTAAAAAAATAACCCAAGCCAGACTGGGCCTAAAAAAATTTTTAAAAAATACCTGGGTAGGACTAAATATTATAAGGCCAAATACTTTAAATCGCAATAAATAACTAAAAATTAAAAATATAATATTTTAAAAAATCTGGGTTGAGCCAAAATTTGGGCCTGGCCATGCAAAGGTACTACTTGCAGATCTTTGATATTTTTAATAAATATAATAATAATAATAAAATTCTGTGTAATTATTAATTTGGATTTTGTGTGATCAGAGACTTAAAGAGGTATCAATTGTATGGCCTGGCCTGGATTTTTTTTTACCCTGCTGGGGTTTTATATTTTTAGGCCCAGCCCAGATTTTTTAATATATTTTATTTATTTTTAATTTTTATAGCTAATAATAATGGTATTTAAAATATATGACCCACCCCGAGTATTTTGTTTAATCAGGCCTGGCCTAAGTATTATAAGAAAATTAAAATATGGCACAAACTCCAGGCTGGCAGGTCTCTGAAATATATATTGATTGATAAGATAAAATCTATGATCTCTCATAGTAATAATTTTTGTACTTTAAAAATTTTTTCTACAGAGGATTTTAGGGTAAAAATGTGAAAAGTTGGAAGGCTATAGTATAATACATAGTTATGATTATCTCACTTAAATGATTTTAAAAAATAGATGTCAAATTTAAATAAACTTTTTATTATTATCTGACATAAATAATTTCAAAATTAATAATTGGGCTGTTATCTATATATATATAATTTTATACAAAAAAGTTAATTTTAAATGAATAATTATAATTTCATATAAAAATAAAAAACTAACTAACTTTTGATATATATCAATTAATTGTAATTGTAGGTGATTTGTTCCACAAAAAGATATTGTTTTGTCAAAAGGATTACGATTACTTGAATGGAAAAACCTTAACCCATAAGTCACTATAAGTTGAGATAAAAATCCAAATAATAAACATATATTAAATCGATTGTCTTTAATATCCAAAAAGGATGAATGTGAATCATGAGCAGAATGTGGCGAATCTTCAAATAGACTTATAAACCGTTCAAAGCAATCCTTTAAAGTAAAAAATGATGCAAACTGTGTTAATATGACAGTTACAAATACAGATACAATCTCATATCTGTCATATCTATTATCAATATAGTAAATATATTTTTTATATTAAAAATACCCATATGTGTAAGATAAACTTGATTTTTGTTTTCTGCACCATCCTGATACCAATAAAGTAATTATTCTAAAGTGTATATTTAATTATTTTTATTAAAATATTAAAGAAACCTCATAATATCAAAAAATATCAAATGTCCATAAGTTTTTAGGCCTATAATAAACTGTAAAAAAAGATAATAATAACTTATGATACTTAAGGAGTTTGTGTGGTGAGCAATAGAAGCTACATAAAACATTATAATTGAGTGACATACTAGCCAAGCAAAGCAAATGCGTAACTATAATATCAAATAAATATATAATTATTAGACATAATTAAAAATTAAAAAAATATTGATATTATAAGTATAATATACATATTTATCCTTCGGTGATTTCAATATATCATAAAGAAATAAAAATATCGATCGTAGTATCATGATTGCGTTCCACTCAAAATTCAGCCATGTGTTTTTAGATGTGTCTTAGCCTAGAGTTGATTTTCAGACAAAATGTCAAACTCTCATATGTTATTAAATACTATAATTAATTTATTATTGAATTATAATATCATAAATGATTATATTTCTTTAAGTTATAAATAAATATTATTCATAATTTTCTATTATAAAATAAATCTTAAGAGCCATAAGTAATATTAAGTGCTCTTTTGATATATTCGGCCTTTTGTCTTTTACCATCTATTTGTAAACGAATATGCGAAATGAAAATATCGTGATAAATTTTGGGGAAGAGCAAACTTTAATTAATCCGAATAAGATAAAGCTTGATTTATCATGTTTAATCGTAATTTATTTTTTAATAGATATCCAATTGCTGCAATATTTCATCTTTTTTTCCGTTATTTATCCATAATAATATATTTTATTTGTGCATGGTTGACCAATAGCTTTATTATTAGCTTTATTATAATACTAGTACTGCTTGCATTGGATTTTTGGACTGTTAAAAATATAACAGGTTACTTAAAAATAAGTTGCATTTTGCAGGTAATTATTTAGGAAGATTATTAGTTGGTCTTAGATGGTGGAATTTTGTAGATGAAAATGGTGAAAATCATTGGATTTTTGAATCAAGAAAAGTAAAATTATTATTACATACTATCTTAAATACTATTATACAGTCAAATCCTCAAAATATGAATTACATATTTACAACTTTAGTGGAATCACAAATATTTTGGATAGGATTAATGTTAAGTCCTTTAATATGGATACTTTTATTTTTCATAGCACTCTTTACACTGAAATTTAAATGGATGGTAAATAATTTTAATATTAAATTTAATTCTAACACATTTAAAGCTAATTGTTAGTCTTGGTATCTTACTTAATGGTGCAAATTTATATGGATATATCAGGTGTAAAATGGGAGATAATTCGGAAATTAAAACAACCTTTTCAAATTTTTTCTATTCAAAGATGATTGGAAATGTAAAAAATTAAATAATAAATTAATTTTCTTCTACTCTATAAAATAGTTTTTTTCCTCCAGTTTTAAAAATAAAATGACAACACCAAAAACTCAATCACAAGAACCTACAAATATATTTTCACCCAATGTTTTATAAAGTTATATATGATAAAATTATTACCAAAATGCAATGGATGATATATTGTGATTATAGATATTATTTAATATTTAAATAGAAGAGTTATTTAACCTTTTGTATTATCTTAAATAATATTATGTATTTATACTAATATTTCAAAATTTAATCTGTAAATAAGTTTAATGTTGCCTATTTGAAATAAAAGTAATTAAATAGATAATTTTTTTACTTTAAAAAGGGAAATGATAGCAATATTTGGCACAAGTATTTTTTTTTAAAATTACTGATTAAATTTTGCTTGCACAACAAACTAATCCTCGCAATCAATTATTTATTTTTTTGACTATAAAAATTCAAATTATATTATTTATAATATTAAAAAACTCTTTTAAAAAATAAAAAATAAGCTTTCTGGAACATAACTTTTTTTAAAAAAATACGTTTTTAGATCTCACTGGATATATTTTAAATAAAATTTGATTTACATTAAATACTGCAATTTGGTTTGATATATGAAATAAATGACTTTAATTTATCTGACTCCAATATTATCTATCATTATTTTGAATTTTATCTAAAACCCCTCATTCTATAATTAAAAAGTGTTTAGATCATAATATATTAACAATTAATTTTTCAAATATATAGAAAAACAAAAAGATAGTTAATTTTTGATTATTCCATGCATCAAACAAAATAAAGGTAATAAGTAATTTATAGCGCTCTTGCTCTCCTATCATTGAATTCAACAGAGCTATGCTAGTTATTCCTCATTTCCATCATACTGGAAATAAATTAAGTTGGGTGAAAAGTTAAAAAGGTGAGGAGCCCTTTATTGTGGGCAAACCACACATGCTGCACAAAATTTTTTTATGTGAATTTCAAACAACTTTTCCGCCACTAAAGTTTATGGCGAAAATCATCTGAAATTCATAGAGGTACGCACTCTACGCACAGGGTAAATCGAAATGTTCTAAATCTCCCTCGATAAATGATTTAAAATTACGTGATTCCCCATATTTATGGATCCCAATATGACATATAGAAAGGTTTTTGAACGAACTTATTTTATATGTATACGAATAAGAAGAGCAAATAGATTTGACACATTTTAATTAAAAATTAAAAGGTTTTTTTAAAAATGGATTTCTTTAAAATAATGTTTGGATACTATAATTTGATAAAAAATTGCTTTAATGTAAATATTTTCGACATTTGGTAGCGGCTAAAAAATTAGTTGCCTAATTGTCATTTCTAAAATTTCGATTTTTAAAAAATTCCATCTAATACGTTGAAATTTTAATTTAACAAAAACATAACGCCTTTAAATTTAATGTTTTTTTAAATATAATACTTTTTAATCAAAGAATTAATTACCATAAATTTTTTTTTAAAAATGAGGGCTGTGCCGATACTAGATATTGGATTTGGGCCGATTATTTAAATAAAACCCGATCTAAAATTATTATCGTTTTAAGTTATTCTATATAAAATCTTAATTTTCTAATAATATTAATTCATTTTATTTGAAATGCTTAAAAAGTCGAGCTATTTTGAGAAATTATAGAATAGCTTACAATAAGATGTTATATTTTTTTTGTTACTTTATTTTCAACAAGAAAAGGATTTTAAAATATTTAACGAGTCTCATTTAAATTGATTAATTTTTGGGGAATTAAAAATACATTTAGTCATTGGAGATAATTCGTCAAGTATCCAAATATCGCCTTGGCCACGAGAAGCGGGGAAATATAAAGAATTATGTCTTGTTATGCCTATATTCTATAGTTGATTTTTTAAAGATTAGATGATGAATTAAAAATCAATCCTAATATCGGATCGGCTTTAAATATGATCGACACAGCTCTAATAAATAGACAACATTGAGCCATGAATTATAAAAATAAATTTGATCTATATTTCTAGACCTATGAATGGAAAGTCGCTATTTTTTTATTAAATACTTCTTTCATAAATTTAAAAGCATTAATTAAAAATATTAAATAAACCAAAAAGAGATACTTTGCTTTAAAAAAAATGCATACTACATATCGTGGCCTGAGAATTAGATTATTCTATATCCATTTTTTTTCACAAATGACTTTCTACATAAATCAATTTTTTATAATTTTACCATTCATTTTATTTACATTAAAAAATCCGAAATATTTTAAAATAACTCAATTAAATTTGATACAAGGTTAACCATCCTATTGAAAACAATAGAAACTTAATTTTTTTAAAATTACTTCCCTGTGAAATTACAAAATGTGGAGATAGAATATTCTATTTCTCAGGCGACGATATATTAGTCCTCGTTTGTAGTAACCGAAATATCTTTCCAACAAAGCTCAATTAATCGCTAAACGATAATTTAACATTATGTATTTAATAATCTAAGCACGTTTGAGCGGCCGATATTTCGCGTTAATTATAAATGATTATCGGCTATTAAAAAAATGGGCTGGATGCTTTTTTGGTTATAAAAAACTTTCATATACAAATATTTTATTTTGTATTCCATTATTCCAATGATTATACTACCTAAACTGATGATTCATTCATTTGAATGTGTATCAATGTTAGCGGCAATTGTCATTTTTCAACTTTAAATCATTTTTTGAACGCGTTAATTTAAATTTAAAAATCTGATTTTACCAGAAATTTATTGCCGCTAACATACAAATTAGCTTACAACATACTATTTTGTGTTTCCCCTATAAATATGTTTATATATTAAAATTTTATGAAAAACTATTTGAATTTTTTTTTTTTGATTTTAATTTATTTATAAAAATTCTTATATGGAAAATTAAAGTGGCGTGTCAGAATCTGATTTAAATTCAACGATGCAAAATACAAATTAATCTGTCTTAAAACATGTGTCACTTCCACATATATGAATAAATATAATATATATAAAAAAATAATATAAACTTACCAGAATTTCGCATATATACATCAATTATTTTAAATAGTTAAACGGCTCGATTTCGCCAATTTTAAATTAAGATTTTCCAAATTACTATTTTGCAAGCCTCGAGATTTTGTTAATAGATGACCAAACCTATCTACCATCTATGAACAAAATTAGGTTTGAGTAATGGTTAAAACATTGGGTTGGGTTACCAGTTTGTCAAAATCGAGCCTTTACAATCCTAATTTTCTGACACGCGCAAAACAAATGATGATTAACATTCCATGAGGAAAATGATTTTGGTAACCTTGGAAGCATCTTTCCTTCCTTTTTTTGAACCAAAAATACTAATGTTAACATTTTCGATAATTTTGATTTAATACCCTACAATTACCAGAATAATAAAGTTTATACTAATTGACCTTAATTATAAAAACCAAAACGATAGGTGAATTGAAAGTTTATCTTCCTTATTCAGTTATGGAGTAAAGGAGTGGTTAAATTTTGATATGGTTATAATAATTTTTACAATAATTTTCAACAGAATTCATTAATTATAAAAAAATTTTAAAAAAATCATTTTTAAGGTGTTTGCAAAATTATAATCGAAATACGGTTTTAAGTAAAAAATTTAAACCAATAATTATTAATTTATATTTAAGCTCGTCTAAATATATACTTAATTATTATAAACAGTTTTTTCCAATCAAAAATTTTTATAAAAAGATACTTAAATATTTAACGCTAACTAGTGGACAAAATTTTATTAAATTTATAATTAAAAAAAATATTTCTTTATTATAAATTATAAGAGTTGTCAACTTTTCAGAAATATATTATAAATAAAATAATTTATTATTAAAATAAAATAATATTTATTATTAAAATAAAATAATTTATTAATAAAATAAATTAATAATATAACCCAATTTTTATAATATTTTTTTTTACCTTATACCCTTTAATATTTACAAAAAAAATTGCGTTGTGTCTAAATTAAATTAAATTAAATATAAGACAAAAAATTTTTACCTTTATATCCAAATTAGAATAATTGATTAAGAACCCTGTCTAGTATATAAATCCCAATTAGAATAATTTATTCTGAAACATGTCCTAGAATTTTCTTTTTAAATATTTGATTTAATCAGAATTCAGATGCTGGTCACGGCACCAATTCAATTTTAATTTATTTTCAAATATTATTATTGGTAAAAAAAACAAAGTATGTCTTAAAAAAATTGAAGTTTAAGTTACTTTTCCAAAAAAAATAAATAATTTTTTCAAAGTATTTAATTTCACAAAGGTCAAAAAAATATTAATAATTTTTAATATTCAACAAAACAAAATGATTGGCGTTGAATTTCTTAATAATAAAATTTTCTATTTTCTACCAATCAACAATATTTATCGTTGATTGGCATTTTACATGAAAATGTACATGATTATTTATAAAATAAGGTCAGCGATGACAATTATATAATTCAGAGACCTGCAGCAAAGGTACACCATTTGCACGGCTCGGCTCGGGTTTGAAAATTTTAGGCCCGGCCCGGATTTTTTAAAAAAAATTTATGGGTCCGGACCAGATTTTTTTAAAAAAAATTTTTAGGACCGGTTCGGAATTTTTTAAAATTATATTTCAACCTGGTATTATAAAAAATTCACCTATTCAGTATTTTATCATATTTTTCGGCCAGTATTATCATTTAATAAGCAAGCATATTAGCTAATGTTGTTAAACAGCTCGTTTTGCGCCGATTTTTGAAAACGGCTAACTCAATATTTTCGCCAAAAATGCCTCGAAATTTCAACACTATAAGTCTAGATTTTTGCTCCTTCTAAGAACAAAATTTTCAGGCTTAAGTAATATTTTTCTGGATAAAATACTGTGATGGCCGTTTTTAAAAATTGGCTCAAAACAGCCGTTTAACAACACTACATATTACATATTTTATTTTTATTCTATACTATAAAAAATTTGTGTAAATAAATATTTTAAGAATAAATATACTATATTAATTGTATTTATAAAAAAAATAAAACTGATATTTTAATTAATAAAAAATATAACTTATATTGTATAATAATGTATTTAATACCTATTATCTAGTGACGAAGCGTCAAGTTCACTACTAGGGAAGCAATCAAAAAAAATTTTATTTTTATTTTAGTCAAAACATTAAGATTTAAAAATAAGTGGTATTATTTTTTGAGTAAAATGATCAAGTACTGCATTATAAAAGTTATAGCTAGCTTTTAATTTTTTAATAATTTTTTTTCAATCGAAATAAAAGATAGATTCGATAATCGATTTTGGCTCGTCCTGTTTCTGCAATAAGATTTGATTCTTTTTAAAGATGAAAAACTCCGTTTTGCATTGCTGTTGTTGAAGCCAAAATTAAGATGAATTTGCATAATTTATAAAACTTTTCATCAAATCGGTGCATATTAAAAATCAAGTATTTCATTAACTTTTTCTTTCTAAATTCAACATCCCGAAACACTACCTTTAATTCGATTTCCAGCTTGTGTAAGTCGAAAAATTAAGAATAAGTGTCGTTTAAATTATCTAATAAATATTTTGGGAAATTTTAATAATTTGGAATCGACTAATATCTAACTCGACGAATTTAATATTTTTTGGTGTAAGACTTATGAAATGGAATTAATCAAATCATTTTGAATATCGCTTGATAGTCCAATAAAAAATGCACTATTTCTAAATGATGTTTCAATATTAAATTTTCTGCCGCGAGCAAATAAATTAATTAAATATAATTTCCACTATTTACTGAATTAGAAGATTCATCATCACCACGGAATACAAGCTCCTGAATTCCAATTGAAAATTTATTAACAGTTGATCAATATTAGCTCAAGAAATTTTGATGCAAAAAGATTTGATTATTGGAAATAGGAAGACCAAAACCGATATTTTACAAAACTTGAAACCATCAGAAATTCAATACGACTTTGCATCCATAATGTTTTCTAATCGCTAAATCATCGACAACAATATGAATGGCTCACTCGTGATGTGTAATTGTCTTTGAAAAATTCTCTGATATTGTTGGTCATGCCTTTATTATTCCCAAAGGAAAAATATGCTTTGGAATGATAATAGGCATTTTCGACGATATCAGATAATTTTTCAAAGGCAGTTAAACGGCACGAATGAGTCAATCATATTGCAGTCGATGATTTAATGATAGAAAACATTATGGACGCAAATTTTGATTTCGTATTGAAAATTATGTAAAATTGGATTCGATGTGCAAAATATCAATCGAATCAGCATAATTCCAAAGTCAAAATCAAATAGAGCAAATATAAAAATATTGATCAACTCTCATATGTTATACAATTACAATTATTAAACATTAATTAAGGATTTTAAAAACGAAAAATTTTTTATTTTAAAAAAGTAAGGAAAAAAATATTATATAAAAAAATTTCTTTCTCTTTTCTTTCTTAAATAAATAAGCATTTTTTTATTTACTTCCCCAATGCTTATTTTTTTAATGGTAAAATTATACAATACCATGGCATGATTTTCTTTTTATTTATTTAAAAAATAAGCAATATTAAATTTGCTTCCCTCATGTATATTTTTTTAACGTAGTAAAAAATAATAGTAAATTTTCATGGTAAAAATAATAGTAACTTTTTAACGTAGTAAAAATAATAGTATTTTTTAACGTAGTAAAAATAATAGTATTTTTTAATATAGTAAAAAAATAATATTAATTTTTCAACGTTATAAAAATTATATTAATTTTTTAACGTCGAAGTCAGTTTAGTTTATTTAGCATAGTTACAAAGGGTACAAAGATTATATTGTTTATTTAAAAATTTTGTAAGAAAAATTTCAAGGGAAGCAATGCTTCCCTTGCTTCTATGGACTCTTCGTCACTGCTATTATCATTTGCGTATTTATTCCATGGTAGGAAAACTATAATTATATTATGTAATAGATACTATGAGTGTTAACTTTCACCCAACATTATATTAATCATAACTATATATAATCATTATAACCATATCTAATTGATAATGTTGTATAAATTTTTTAAAAAAATTATACGGCCTGGGCCTGCAGGTCTCTGATATAATTAATAACTAACTAATTTATGTCAAAATTATAGGTTACCTTTGTTCAATTTTTTACACTTTTTATAATAACTATATTTATTCAATAATAACTTCTTTTTCCTTCCTCAAAAATAAAAGCAAATTATTATATTATTTTCTAATTTTATTAGACTTTTAATCGCAAATATAGTAAAATAACATTAATACAAATAGTTGTTTAATTCAAAAAAAATTTGATCATGATTATTGTAAATAACTGTATGTTTTTAATAAAATATATAATTACAATAAAAATTTTATTTTTACAAGTAATAATAAAAAATGCTGATATTTACAAAAATAATGTTATATAATACTAAATATTATGCTACTTCTTCCAATCATGACAATTGATAATTTGATCATCTAAATATTTGATATTTAACATAACTATTTAATAATTTGATTACATATTTACATTTTATTTTGGCATTATTAATTTATGTGTGCTTTATTTAATTTTATAGTTTAAAAATTTTTTTTTATTGTGTAACATAACACCAATGTCATTAACATAGCCTAAAGCTAGGGTAACTATTTTATTTAATAATTATATAAAATAGCATGTGAAATTGAAAGACTTGATTGTGAATGATTTAATTTAAATTTTTTGGATTGGATATTTAATACTTAAGTTGAAATATTTTAGAACGTATTTATAGACTATAAAATTTGTATTATTGCTTATTAATTTATAATATCAAAAAATTTGTATAATATAATATATATCAGGGGCGTAACCATGAGTGACGAGGATCCCCCTTAATGGCAAATTTGCCTGTTCTTATATATCTTTTTTAACTATATAACATTTTCCTCTTATTCCCCCCCCACCTCAATATATACAACATAAAACTTTAAAGAAAAATTTGAAAGAAAAATTAATAAAAGTTAATAACTTTTAAAATAACAATAATCCAAAATTCTTAGAAAAGGTGAAAACCCACAATTATTTTTATAAAAATCCAATATAGCCAAAGGCCTACAATAAGTGTAAATATATTTTTACAATCGGGCCGAACAATTATAAAATAAAATTAGGCCCGAGCATATCACTAATCTAAATATAGGATTGGAGAAAAGATTAGGGATCTGCACATCTATTATATTTAAAAATCTATAATTATTTTCCTTCGATATTTTTTATTAGTTATCTTATCCATCCATCAATAATAATTAAAGTTATATAAAATACAAATATTTTTTATATAGGTAGATTGTGAGATTTATAATATTTTTAAAAATAAATTATTTGATTTTACTTAAACTTAATATGAGCTAAAGCCCGATGTGGGCTACGGTAAGTTTAAATTTATTTAATGTGATGAGAAATACATGAAATGCTTTTTTAAAATAAAAAATGTAGTACAATCCACCCGATATCATTTATAAAAAGAGTTTAAAAAAATACTTTGTGTAAGTTTCCAGGATATAAAAATATTTATAAAAAAAAGAGTAATACTATAATTCTAGTAATTTTTACATGAGAAGAAAAAAAATTAATTGTGGAGGAGTGTGGGGTGTAAAGGTATTGATATGTAAAGGATAATTTGGCCCTAATTCAATTTCGACTAGAAACGACGTTTAGAACCCAACTAATTTACAATTGTCTTTGGTTTTATATTTAAATTTCTTAAATATATATTTATAATAAATTAAAGCGTTTAAATATTAATAAGAAATGCGGCATTTTAAGTAGAAGATGTATTGTTAGTTAGCCGTTTCTTGAATTCAGAAGGTAACCTTTCGTAACACTTCTTACAAACGGGTTTGAGGTCGATTTCGAAAAATTTGGACTTTTGATTCATTTTAACGTCGCAACCAAAACAGGAAAAATGTTCGGGACACCATGACTTGTTTAACGCGGCGAAAGCTTTTTTGTGTCCGTTAAATATAAAAATTAATGATCCAGATGTTTCATTTTTAACTTATTTCTATGTGACAGAAATATACTAGACATAAAAATTTATAAACTCAATTGACAAAATTTGGCGGTACCGAAAAAGAATATTACTAAAAAATGATATTTCTTCAAAAAAAATTCATTAATTGTTTACGAAAAAACAAAATTTAAATTAATATTTAAAATAAATAAGATTCCAACACTGTTTACCCGCTAAGATATGGCCGTTTAAAGCGCGGAAAAATGGTACATTTTTGACAAAATGCACCTCATTTATTTTCAAATATCTCGAGAAATAATTATGTTAGAAAAATAATTAAGATTTTATTTTGTAGCTTAATAAAAGTTCTTTAAAATGACATAAAAAAATGATGGACATTTTATTAATATCGAAACCCGGATGTGTAAAACCGGAAATGGCCATAGAAAAGAAGGTATTTTTTTTCAAATTTTTATTTCTGTAGATAGATCACTGCTTTATATTTGTACAAAATCCTAGACTGGGATGAACATAGGTTTGGGAGTAATCACTCTTTATATGGCTAAAATTGAACAAATTTAACATTAATATCATCATATTTTAATTTAATGAATAGTTATGAAATAATGTTAATTTAAAAATTATGTCTAAATGACAGGCCTTTACTTTTTTTTTATCTTTATCAAAATTTTTGAGAAGTGGCTGGAATAATGAGCTTTGTTTAAGACTTTAGTTAAATTTTGTCTCGAAGTTACTTGACAAAATAATTCTAAACATATTTATAACTATATTTGCCTCAAATTGCATTACATGTAATACAATCAAAAATTTATAATTAAAATATATCATATATTATAATAATCCAAGAAATTTTAATAAATTATGACTTTTGTTTTCGTCAGGGGAATATAAGCTTGGAACTTTGTGTTCCAGAAATTCTCTTTGTTCTCAAAAATCTGCTTTCAAGATGACTTTCTATGTTCATATATTCTTCATTACTCACAAATATATAATTTACCCCATAGATATTATTTCTTGAATAGTTAAATAAATCTATTGTTGTCAATATGTGATGTTCATGGACGTTGCAAGCTTGCTCGAACTGCTAACCGTTTAGTAACAACCCCCAAAATGTCGCATTGACTTTTACCTTGTGCGGTTTCTTAAAATGTCACTCAGCCTTCATCCCAAAATCATTTTCATGATTGTAGAGATTAATGAAATCTTTTATTTTTATATTGGTTACTGCTCCAACAGAAAAATAATAAATTTCTTTCTTGCAAGAATACGATCAATTTTTAAAATAAATAAAATGCACATGCGTTGTGCTTTAAACAATCTGATATAACCACTAAATTTACATGTTTTATTATGTTGTTCTCACGGTAATAAATTATAAAAGAGTTGATAGTGGCTTAATTATTGGTCTGATTAAATCCTTGTGCATGGTTCTGCACTACAAATGCATAGTTTTCTGAAAAGTCTGCAATAACTAAGAATTCGCCAACATTTAAATTGAAATTTAAAAAGTTTCGAATTAATGATTATCGTGAAGATATAAACAAATGAGGAATTAAATTGTTAATCATTCAATTAAATAATCTACAAATTCGTCGGATTTTGTCAGTGTTTCGAGGGTACTTCGATCAACTGCTATCCATTGTTTGAATGTTTTATAATCTATAGAATTCTCGTCAAATAATATATTAAGCATTTCTTTTAATTTTGAATATATGGGGGAAAATTTATTGTTGAATTTCAATTTTGGTAGATTATTTTATGTTAAATAAAATATTTAAAATTATTTTGTCAAGTAATTTTAATTTCGAGATAAAATTTAACTAAAGTTTTAAACAGCTCATTATCCCAGGCACCTCTCAAAATTTTTTTATAAAATAAAAAAAAGTAAGGGCCCCTCATTTAGACATAAATTTTAAATCAACCTGATGATATTAATGTTAAATTTGTTCAATTTTAGCCATATAAAGAGTGATAACTCCTAAACCCATTTTCATCCCAGTCTGATTTGTACAAATATAAAGCAGTGTGATATCTATCTACAGAAAAAAAATTGAAAAAAATACCTATTTTTTATATGGCCATTTCCGGTTTTACACATCCGGTTTTTGATATTAATAAAATGTCCATCATTTTTATTTTTATGTCATTTTAAAGAACTTTTATTAAGATACAAAATAAAATTTTAATTATTTTTCTAACATAATTATTTCTCGAGATATTTGAAAATAAATGAGGTGCATTTTGTCAAAAATGTACCATTTTTCCGTGCTTTAAACGGCCATATCTTCGCGGGTAAACAGTGTTGGAAGGTAAAATTTCATTTTTTTCTTAGTTATAGTATATACTACCAGTATACAAAATTTAAGAAAAATTGAAGGGGGTCGGGTTGAAAATAGACTTTTTTTGTTGATTTGATCTGGAATTCACCATATATATGCTGCTAAACGGCTTTGAGCCGATTTTTAAAAACGGCTATCTCAATATATAAGTAAGGTAATGTTGTTTAGCATGGAGATTTTGATAATAGATTATCCTAACCTTTGTGCCATCTATGAGAAAAATTTTCAGGCCTGTTATTTTTCAAGTTAAAATACTCTTGAAGATCAAAATCCGGACTTAATCCATAGTTAAATATTTAGGACCGGGCTCGAACAAAGAAAAGATTGAATTTTCAGGGCTCTATATAGGATAAATAATTAAGAAATGGTAGAGCTAGGTAAAAAGCAATTTTATTTTTAAGTTTAGTTCAATACTGGAGGAGAGGAGGTAACATGCATCATAATAATTAAATTAGATTTCTCTCCTACAAAGATGACTATTGATATTTTTAATATCTCAAAAATAATTTTCTAACCATCCCCGGCTATTATATTATCGCAACGGAAACAAGAACTTCCGAAAAGAGCGTGGTAATGGGTCTCGCAATACGGTACTCCTTTGAACGTGTAATGGCGTGAACCGTGAAATGGACGTTCACATTTTCCGCAAACAAAGTGATGCGGGTGCCAGGTCTTTCCAAGGGCTCTAACAACTCTAGCTTCTTCTATTGGTCTCCTATATTTTTTGTATGAAAATAAAAAATGTATCAAAATGTTGGTATATCTATACTAACCTTTATTGACTATTCATTCCTTTATTATAAAAGTATCATACTTGGTAATCAAAATCAGGTCTATACACTTTTTTGTGGTCTGAAAGTAAACCAAAAAAAATGGCATTTATAGTTGAATTATATAATTTAAAAAAAAAAATTCTAATTCTAATAAAAATATGAAAACGAAATAAAACTTTTTTTTAAAACAAGAATGTAATAAATGCCATTTGGTCAACGCGCTGATCCCAAAGTGGCATCAACAGTTGACTCCTATATATATGTTCACTTTTAAATGCACCTTAATGAATCAATTGCAAATCTATAAATATGCTTAAATGTTAATCCGTCATTTTAGTTAATACCGATAGTGATCAATACCGCGATTTTCAACTAATCTCTAATCTTGATAAACAATAAATTTAGATATGGTTATTATGTTTTCTAGCCTATAATAACTTACACACGGCACAGGCTAAAAAAAAATTATAGTAATTACCTACAAGCCCCGCATATAGGTATTGCACCGAGTCGGTCATAGCATTTCAAACAATACAATTCTGTTTTATATTCTCTGGCGTCGGCGTTGAGCTCAATTCTATAATTTTTAATTATAAATCAATTGCGAGGCAAGAAGAAAAATCATCTATCATAATATAATAAGGGTTTCTCTTACATAGAGAGAAGTTCTAAAAAAAATTTTTTAGAAAAACTTTCAGACTAAGGGCTAAAATTCCCACTACTAACCAAAAAGAAAGTTTAATTTTCTTCTTATTTTTATTAGTTTGAATCGATAGATATTATTATATTACAAATTTAATGGGGGCCCACAGGAAGAGGTTCGGTTCGACCTATCTGGGAAATCATTATACTAAATTGTAATATTTATATTTGCAATTCTTAAAATTATGTGCTTATAAAAATATATACATTTTTTTTATAGCCAAAATTTAATATCCCCGAATTTTTAGAAAACAAATCCTAAATCCCTAGTGTATGTTTTATCTCTGATATTTTTCGTAATAAAATTGAAAAAATTATTTTAAAAAAGGCAAATCAAATATTAATTTATATTAATGTTTAAAATTGTAATTCAGGATCATCATTTCTTTGTTCACGTGACAACTAGATCGTAGAAAAGTATAAATACGTTAAAAATCTACCATATTTTTTTTAGATTATTTTTAATTTTTTCAAAATATCCACCATTATACATTTTTTTTGAGAAATAAAAATCCCTCCTCTTAAAATATTCCTGCAGGCGCTATTGCCATATTCCTGGCATATAAATTAAAGTATGAAAATAATTTAAATTCTGTTTTATAATCAAAAGAAATGAGATATGTCTTCAAAATATAAAATTGTCAGCTGAGTAAATGACATATAATAATAATACCGATTGACGATGAATTCTAAAAGTGTACATCAAATGAAAACGGCTGAGGACACCATTTTGGTTACCCATAGCATATTTAAAAAATTTTAATTTTAATGTAAGCGAAGTAAAATAATGTTTTATGACAATTATTCCAAGGTTATTCTCGCAAGAAAATATATATTTAGCAGACTAAATTCAAATAATTTAAAGTATTCTGAATCCTATATAGGTTAGCAAAATGGCATGTCACATGGTCTTTAGCTGATTTGCATTATACAACGCATTATCATGAACGAATCGTCAGTCTAGGTATTATTTATATGCTTTGGGCTGAGTATTATAATGTTCTATATCCATTTATTTTAAAAATTGTTAAGGAGAGCATATAAAAAATGAAAATATTTCTTGCAGGGTTGGCAAGTTGGTCAATTGTCCGGTTATATCTAAAGTATAATTGGTGAATAAATATATTGATTTAATTATCAAATATGTATTTAAAACATGCATATCAATCTAATTAGGTTATAATTTATTAAAAAATATATTCATCGATTTAATTATAATTGTATATTAAAATATAAGATTTTCATATTAAAAAATTAGAATTTCACTTAAAAATATTAAAATAAAATAATTTTTCTCATTAATTACTGGATCTCAATATATAATTAAATATATAATTTTGCTAAAGCATGGTTTGAGAAAATATTAGTAATTGTAATTGCCAATTTATATCACATTATGAACAATTATCCAAACAATGGGCATTGTCAATAAAATGTAAGGAGCAAATACAAATATGCCAGAAAGCAGCTGTTGAAATAGTTGGAGATTTCTCCGATTATAGAATTTTAAAATAATAATTTAATATTAGATATTTATTATATATAAAATAAAGTTTATATTGTCTTAAAAAACATTTATTTGAATTTGACCACATTTGACGGTTCTAGTATCGGCCAATTGACCGAATCATATTTGACCGGTCAAATGCTAAACCCTGATTTCTTGTATTCTAAATAGGATAACGCCATAAATCAATAGAAATAAAAGATGATTCCAGATTATATTTTAACATTTTTATTGTGGATATATAATTAATATAATACTGAAAGAATTTATTTATCAAAAAAAATAAATGGATATGGAATACCCTAGTACTCAGCCGACGAAAATGAAATGTTAAAGTGTATATCTATAGTATACTCGCACGATTTGCAATTAAAGTGGTAAGGATGATATGGTTCATTTTGGTATAAGAGAAATGGTTCATCTATAATACTTCTACAAATAAAAAATATATGTTTAAATTTTATAAAAATTGAAATTCTTTAGATAAAATCATGGATGCACCGATACTCTTGGGATCGATCGATACTTTTAATTCAAGCTGATACTTTAAAATAATAATCCCTTAATTAAATCTATAATTTTTTAAGAAAATACCAATAATTTTATAAGAAAATAAAATCAATTTATAAATTTCTAAACAGATAAGAAGAAGGAAAATTGACTAATTAAAAGTAAAAATAGCAAGACTCCATCTATACTGTTTATTGAATCCCTAATATTTTAACCTTTTTTAGGTTGTCTCCAAAACTATTTTTTTCCATAATTACGAATTTCGAAAAATCTAATAAAAATAAATAAATTAAGTTTTTTTTGTTTTGAAATATAAAAACATGTCCAAAATATATTTCCAAGAAAATTTTATAAATTTCAAAAAATTTAACAAACGATTTTCATTCTTATTTTTAAAATCAGATTTTGAACACAACTTTTAAATAATAACCATCATTAAAACTGATATTAATAATAAAGAAATGCGTTCGTTTAACTATTTTCTTCATAATCCTAAAATTTTTATGGCAGAATTGACTTTTTTAAGAAGTATTACACGTACAAGAAAAATAAATCAAAAAGTCATAATGAATTTCATAAAAAATTTGAAAGCATTTTTTATGGAATAAAAAAAATATCGGTCTATACTGGATTTGTATCGGTGCATCTCTGGCCGAAATATATATATTTTTTTAAACAAACTTGCATTTATGACATGTCATTTTCCTCTGACCATCAATTTTTTCTTTGTTGCTGCATTCTTTGCAGAGTGCCCTATTGAAAAATAAAATATTTTATAAAATAATATAAAGTAGGAAAATCGATCACAAAAAGCCCTATTTTCCCCACCAGCTCTAAGATTTTTACAAAATTTAGCTCACACGCTAAGGTAAAAAAAATTAGCCCTCCGAACATTTATACCTTTGGAGATATGTCTATATCGTTTGTTTTTTTTTAAAAAAAAATTCATCGTCAGTCCATTTGGTGATGTTATTTAATCAGAATAAGGCTTTTGCCATCTGGCCCTCGCTGGTAACTTTTCACCATTATCATAGCGTGCGCAACGACTGAAAATGTTATATTTTGCTGGTTATGACATGTACTTAAAGGGTGTTTAGGTTTTTGAATTGAGCCAGTGATCCACCAGAAAAATATAAAGTAAACATTGGGTAATCCTGGCTAATTAATTTTTTAATGAAATTTACAAGCGTGTTTAAAACAAATGCAATGCTACGGTATTGGGCTGTTTAGACATCATGAAACATAATAGTGACATATTTATGATATATATATATATATATATAACAAATGGAAAAATATGAGACTGACCCCTCGCCTCTGGAATTTGAAGTATATATCTAAAACAAATTATTCGTTATTTGGTTCAATTCGTATTGTACAAATACGAATTAAGAATCTTTTCATCTTTTATTCGATCGAATTATTCGTAAATGCAATATATCCCTTGCGGAACTTTTTATCTTTTTACTTTATTTCCACAACCATATATTTTTTTTCTTATTTGTACGAATATGAATATATAGAATTATTCGATTTAAAATATGTATATTCGATTGATTCGTATTTATAGGTATACTTTTATGTTAAATGGATAATGTAAAAAGAATAAGAAGTCAAGGAGAGCTAGCGGGCGGGCAAGAGGAGAAGTGGTTATAAATAATATCAGATGACAATCGAAAAACTAGACTAACTATTGGAGAGCTACGATAGATAGTCGGTAAGAAGTTGCATCGGGTGGTGAGAACCATTGCGATAGAAGAGCGATATTTTCGGAATTATGCGTTATGGGAGGCGTGACCAGCCTAAATAAATTGCCAGAGAAAAAACGTATTTTAAAGTGAGGCCCTCAACCATCTGCAAATATTAAGTCCATAGAGGAGGTGAAAGGAAATGGGACGAGACGAACGGACCTTAAATAAACAGGATGGCGAATACTCAGGGAGGATGACATGAAATTAAGAAGGCATAGCAGCAACATAGAGGATCGATGTGGTGAGAACCAGAAAATATTTATTGAAATTGTTGTATATGCAAATTCGAATGTTAATTTGGAAAAGTGATTATTCATAAATAAATGGTAGACGAAGATAATATTTTTGGGGTAATTTGTCTATGTAAATAATCTTAAATTGAACATAATATTTTTCTATAAATTTTATATATATATTCAAATATGCAAATTTTATATATTTAATTCGTCGAAAATTGTTTAATTTTATATATATATATATATATACATTGTTAATTCAAAAAAGTTGAGTTTTGGATATTTTGGATTCTTCGAAAATTATTTTATTATTTATTGACCGATGATTTTTTTGATTATATTTTGATTATTATTTTGGATTTGATAGAAGTTGAATAAAGAGTAAAAGTAGTGAATTATTCCATAGATATTCAGTCTCTCCCACTAGCCTCAGCAATAAATATCAATCCCATATTGGTACAGAAATTTTTTGGAATTGACCACAGGATTGTGTGTTATATTTTGGAGAGGAGGGGAAGTTAAGGAGTTTAAATAGATGGGGAAGGGCTATTATAATTATCAATTATTTATAATTTTGTATTTTATTAATTTATATTTTTTTTGAAGTTAAATTATTTTTAGGTTAAGTATGTTTATATTTCATTAAATAATATTTATTGGGGTTAATATAAATAAACATTGAGGCAAGTTCTATTTTTGTATGGGGATTTGTTGGCTAGTATTATTGGAGGTTGGCTAAAACACATATAAGAAGGAAATGATTATGATTAGATTAATCTTTTTTTTTATTGAATGGAGGTTTAAAATTATGCAGAAATAATTATAGTGCAATGTTTATATTATAGGATATATTATGGAAATTTTTATATCGTACAATTTAAAAAATATATTAGATTAAATAAAGTTGTTTAATTTTATTTTACCCTAAATAAGTTGCATAATGGCAACAGATATTGTTCTGGGAAAAAAAGAAACCACCAAGGAATAAAAAATTATTTAAGTGGTATTTTCAAATATTAAAAGCCCAATTTGTTTGATTTTTATAAACCACCCAATAATGATTATAGCCAAAATATCATTTAATCCTATTTAGGATAAAATTGGATTAGGCTTGTTTTTAAAAATCAGCCTAAATCAGGCTTTTTAACAATCCTAATGGTATGTAATTTACTTGTTATTAAATTTATTATTAATAGTTTGTTTTTAGTTATTGATAAATTAATTGAAAATGACACTTGTAAAATAATGAAATCTTCCTCCATTTTATTCCTGCTAATCTCCAAAAGTAGGAGGGTTAATTTTTGCCAAAATATATGCAACTGTATATAAAATAAAAGGAATTTTTAAAATAGTGAATTTTGATTGATGATATGGAATGACCCAATTTGATTAACTTGTTTCCAATTTTAACAAATCCTACATCAGCTAACAATAGTTGACAATTGTTACAAGTAAAACACTCAGGATGCCAATTGCTGTTCATAGCTTTTATGACTCTTCCAACAATAAATTCACCTAAAATTATGAAATAAAAAATTATAGTTTTTCAGTCAGAAAAATTTTGATTCTATATATTAAAATATTAAATGAAGAAATCATTTTATTTTGAAAATATATATTATCTATAAGTATAGGTTTAAACTAACAATTTGTGCAATAAAACGTAATTTTTTTGTTATAAATTTACCACAAGAAGAACAACAAGGGGCAAAGAGCACATGAAAGTCATGTTCGCAATATTTTCTCCCTTCATACTAGTATTTTAAAATATATTTAGGCTATAATAAATTAAATTACTTCATAAAATATTCCTTCTGGAAATGGTCTAAAACATTGGGCACATCTAATAAAATTTATATATTTTAGGATATAATTATTGGGAACTTACACAAAACAATTTTGATGCCAGAGTTCTCCATTAGTATTGACAATTTTTTCATCAGTTTCAAATCCATCTCCACATCGAACACACATGGCTGAATTAAATGTTAAGTTAAATCTAGTATCAATATATATATATATATAAAATTATGATAAGATAATCATTACTCTTCATTGGGAGATATTGATCTATCATTTAAAACACCTGTTTCGACGGGCATGTCTAAATTAATAGAATAAGTAAAAAAAAATTAAACAGAATAATTGTAATGTAGCTGTCAGATTTATGTGATGGAAAAATAACAGCTGACATATTATGACATGTTGGGATGTCACGTAATAGTATTTTATGCACATTATGTTTGAATAATCATATGGTATTTTAAATTATTACAGATGACTGTAAATAAAGTTACCCTCAATTCCACTTCAATTATTGTATGTTTTAAATACAATTTAATTATATTTTACAATGACCGCTATTTTTTATATTAAAATTTACATAAATATAATAGGACATAAGTCATTTGAATGCGACATATCTCTTTCCATCACTAAATTATGAATCCTTGTTTAATAATTACCATAAAATGAGATTAAATTGTTTCGCCGAAGAGTGGTTACAAAATACCAAAGATATTGAAACTTCATTGGAGAATATATTAAAATTGCCTGCTATTATATTTTGGAATCATATAATATATGACAAAAATCTTAAAATTTTTCTAAAACAATTTTTAGAATTATTTCCTAGGTATATAAATAAAGCAAATAAACTTATTCTTTCTCATGTAGATTCTATGAAATTGACAATGAAATTAATTATAGAGATGATATGATAGAATTAGAGAAAAAAATTTATCATTATGTTTTTTTAATTTATTTACGATTATCAACACACAAGGAGCTAAAAGAATATATATTACAACAAAATGTATTATCCTTTAATCTTTTTTTTATAATATATCTAAAAATTATAGAAATTTGATAAGCAAAATGCTGAAACTGATGCAATAAACGTATTTGCTAACTTAATACATAATTACTTGATATTTAACTCAAATGTTATCATTGATTTATGTGCTATATATGGAAGTAGTTCAATTAACAAAAATTTACTAGTCAAAATGATATCTAATATCATTAATAAGCAACCCAGATATTTTACAAATATTGAAAACATGGCAAGCTGCATATTTAATAAAGTTTATTAATATTAATATATTTTATAGTAATTTTAAAAAAAGATTCTACCTGATATTTTTAATGACTTATCAAACATTGATATAAATGATTATAATAATTTTGAAAAATTGACCAAATTGTTATATTTGCTATTAGAAACCTTGCATGCCTTACAAAATATATCAATCATATGTACTGAATTATTAGTACTATTTATTCAGGAAATGAAAATTCTTAAATGGTATGAATTTATATTCTTTAATAAAATAAAATTTAAAGTTAGTTTAGCCATTATATATCAAACTATTATATTACCCATTCAATATTCAATCAAATTAAATAAAAACACCCATATTAATAAGTAATTTTTTAATATGACCTATTTTAATTTAACAGTTTTTTTTAGTCATCAACTGATCAGAGTCAACAAATATTTAAAAACTATAAAAAATATTATTGTCAAAACATTTCAAGATTTATGTCATGCATATTTAATCAAAATTTCAGAGAAGGAAATGATTAAAACTAAAGCTAAAACTGATTTTCTTTGTGATCTCATTCATAACACATTGATTCCCTTTCCCAGGTACACTTATAGCTAGTGTTATATAAATTATAATTGGGTAGTGACTAAATATTGGCTAATTTGGATCCTACAGGTGCATGCTGTAGAAAATCCATTGACATTACAGCATTTATATTTATTTTAGTTTCTTTCAAATTTGAGCTCCTTTATTTTTAATAACCTTGAGGCTAAGGGGAAGTTTTTTGTCTCTAGCTAAAAATTGGATAAAATTATAGCAATTACCCAACTATAATAGTAATGCATTACAAAAGTAATTGTTGCTATAATGGCATTATCTTTTCCCCCATAAATTTGGTAATAGTGTTACTTATTGAGAAAAGTTTAGATTACTAATTACTTTATAATTTATCATTTTTGTTTAATGTTTAGGCCAATATTTATATAATTAAAATATAAGTCTTTGAAAAAATTATATGGGCATCTCATTATTCTTTTTTTATTTATTTTTATTTGTCTGGATTTATTCAATTTTATTAGAGTAGTACTAGTGAGTATTATTTTTTTATTTTACAGTTTCGTCTTAAAGGCTAAATGAATAAAAATACAGTATTTAATTACTTTAAATAAGCAATGTAATGAGGAAATCAGTATCAAGTCAAGACCAATTCCCATGATAAAATAATAATTTTTTATGTATTGAATTAAACTATGCCTGAAGATGTTGAACTATAAAAAATTTATAGAGAAAATTAGAATAAGAAAAAACAATTTTCAAACATATAACGTAAATGTAACGTTATTACTATTTTTATAAAGTAACATGAAATGTAACGGCTTTATTTTTTGGAATAACGCACAGCTCTTTATTTGTAAACGAGATTCTATTTTTAAACTTTGTTGTAGGATTTTTTAAAATGTTTTTAAAAAAATCATATAAATTGCAAGGTGAAAAAACGATTTTTATAGATTTAAATCCGACTTTTTAATATTTATTCAAGTCACATTTTATTTTTATAATAAAGCCATCAAACAAAATATCAAAAAATGAATTAAATAATTAATTTTTTTTTAATAATGTAAAAACCTATATCATTCTCTTAATACAAAAATGACAAGCTTTGGAATATTTTTTTAATAAAATCAAGAATAAAAAAGGCAGTAAAAATGTAATCAGGACTATAAGGCCCGTTATAACGAATCAGACGTTATCAGTGTCTAGTTATTTTGTAGGTCAGGAACGGTGTGTACCTGCCCGTTCCCCAGCCTTAAACCAAAATCTTTACTCTTTCAACATGAATTGTGTCTATCTATCCTATGTGCCCTTAACCTTATTCCACTTTGAAGCTAATGTTGTTGATACGAATGTTTATAATAAATAATTTTTTAATGTTATTAGTTGCAGGACAGGAATATTTCTTGCGCCAAAGGATACACGTCATATTATCTTCGTCTCGTCGTAATTCTTCCATGGCTACCTTTGTTTTTATCACCCATCGTTTTTTTTAAAACGATAACTTATCAAAAGTTTAGTGTTATAAGGAGAGGTCAGCAAATGGCAAAATTTCCAAGGCCGCCCGTTTAGAATTTAGTTTTTGCCCGGTTCGGCTAGTCCAAATTTGTATCTGGTCCAGTCCAATTTTTTAAGCAAGATTACCCGGCCGGCATTTTAATATTCTGAAAATGGAAATAACCAATAAGGATTAAGGTTTCACGGTTTTCTTATTATAGCAATTAAAAACAAAATGTAGGAAAAGGAAAAAAAAATATTCGTATTTTTGAATGAATGATCATAGTTGCTATTGTTTCATAAAATTATGAGCATGATAAAAATATTATTTTAACAAAATTAGGCTCTAGAATAATTTTTTTTTCTATTCTCTATTAAGTACGTTTGGTACCTCTACTTTTTGCACGCCCGGTCTAAATAATTTGCTTCCAGACGTTACCCTGCTCATAGGTCTTGCCAGGCATTGCAGACCTTTAAATAATAGGGATGGGAATAAAAAAAATCAGCTTGTAATTTTTTTCTTTTGTTTTTACGAGTTGTTAGTTGTTTAATGACATTGATCGATCATTCGAACATTCGTTCACATCACATTTTAAGAATGGAAGGAAAGAATATTTTACTTACAAAAATAGATTTATTGTTTCGAATCACCAATATTCAATCGAATTCGAAATTGAATATCCTCTGTATAGGGTTGTTAAAAAGCCTGATTCGGGTCGATTTTTAAAAACTATATAGGACTAGAGATTTTGCTCATAGCTAGTTAGAAAGGCTTGGATCTCTATTTGCCAAATCTCGAGGCTTATTTAATATTATTTTGGCTAAAATCATAATCGAGTCGTATTTAAAAATCGACCCGAATTATGCTTTTTAACAACTCTTATCCTCTATATGTCTACTGCAAAATACATCGAAAGTGAAAACGGCATATAAAAGTTACTGTTATTAAATCGGTTTTCGTAATATTCTGGCTGCCTATTTTTTTTTTTCAAAACAAATTATTTAGCCATTTTTCTTCTTTAATAACCGTTGCAACACCATTTAAATTAGGTAGGAATTTTTTCATTGAGTTTAGGGATTAATGTTATGAAATTTTCCTGTCCAAACACGCATACCCACAAATTTCGTCGGGAAATTATAGCTAATTTCAATGATCTAGGACGGTAAGTTTATTATTTTGGCGCAAAAATTTAAATAGTTTTATTAAATATAGCAAAAAAGTTAATTGACAAAAAGTGTATTTTTTTTCATAAATTTTTAGATGGACCAAAAAATTGAATAGCAAGCATTGGGTAGAAAATGAGATATTGATACATTATGACGATATTTCCAATCAGGAAAAGTCCCTAGATGATGATTCAAGAAAAGAGCTTTGTTTAATTTTGCGTCTCGCAGATAATAACGTATTATTCCATTTTTTAAATATTTATATAAGACTGTAATCATAGTGGGATACCATTTAACACGAACAGTTGAGCCATTTTAAAATATCTTTATTGAGATCAATTTTTCGATTTAAAAAATCGAGCAGCTGTTAAATCTTGTCGGATCGGATCCCGCTATGAATTCGGCGTAAATGTAATAGCAGGAACATAGACGCTATAATAACTTTTAAGGACATTATTTAAACTCTTTTATTTTAGTTTACTTTTCATATTATACCATTTATTTGTGTTTTTTATTTCAATAATTAAATCATTTTTCTTCTAAATGCTTTAACAGCTTCAATCCGATTACAACGATCAAAATATTGAAGACTTTCCTTCAACCTCATCCGCTCACGACGATGCTAATAAAAACAAGGATAACGAATCAAACTATGAGAATATGGATGAAAACATAGGCTTAATATTAGATATGTTCCCGCACTTGTCAATTGATCTTATCAAGAAATATTTAGTTTATTACCAAAATAACTCTGAAAATGTTAGCGAAAATTTATTTACCGTTAAAATTTATATATAAAAAAACTGTTAAAAAATCATTTTAACTAAATGACGAAGACACTCAAAAAATTATTTATAAAATTTAAATAAGAAAAGTTAATTTTTTTAAAAATAATCTCAATTTAACAAATGAGTTATAAAAGGAGGAAACGGAAATTGGAGAAAATTATGGAAAATGAAAAGAACGAGAAAGGTCATCTCTGGAACTTTCCTAGAACAGTTTTTGGAACGTTTCAAAAAATATTTAAAAAATTAAATTTATTGCATAATTATATTATGGCTCATTTATAAATTTTCGTACTTATTTCTTTGGCCGGAAGAAAAGGAACTCAAGATTATCTTTGTTCCGGGTCCCTTGTTATAATATGATTGTGATAATGAAATATTTTCGCAAAAATGTTGGTAGATTGTATTATTTTTGTATTATTTTCCACAAAAGGTTTTTCTAGAAATAATTTCATCTCATATAACTGAACAATTTACATGAAAAAAAAATATATTAAATACATATGTTAAAAAAAAATTTTTTTATATATAAGGTCATAAATGGTATAATGGAGAATAATCTACCGCCTCATTTATCCGAGGAAAATCAATTCAAAGAGGAAAGCGTTGTCAAAAACGTGGAATCAAAGACCGAAAAATTTAAAATTTAGTAAAAAGAAATTTTTTTTTTGATAGTCATGATTTTAAAAATGACAATAGATATAGCCGCCTTAAGAATTTTATTATTATTAATGACTTAGGCATGCTAAATGTCTATTTTTTTGTTCTGCTCAAAATAATTTATAAAGAACCTGTAAGCTCGTTATACGCTGGCCATAAAATAGTGGGAGTTTTAAAAATCCGGAGTGGGTCAGAAAATTAAGTGACCAAGATGAATTTTATTTAGACATTAATTTTTTGATAAAACAATGTACAAAAAACTATGAATCATTTATTCATTTTTACATACTTGTTGATATTTTTTTTGACAATTTTCATGGATTTAAGACCCGTGCCAGACTTACGGGTGTCTATATTTTCAAATATAATCACCATTTATTTATTTTTAATCGAAGTATCAAAAATAGATCTATCCAAAAACGTTTTGATACTAAAGAGGGTAATGAAGTTACGAAGCAATATTTGTCGCAAAGATCGGCTGATATTTTTAATGATCCATCTGATTCGGAGAATGATTATGAGCACGACGAAGATATCTTTAAAAAGTAATCTATTCCTTCTCATTTTATTTTCCGATACGGTAAAATCAGTCTAATTTAGGCACCGTTGGTACCAAGATATTTGCCCAACTTAGATAGTTACTCAATTTATCAAGACTTTAGTTATAAGAATTGGATTTGGACTCAAAATTTTGGTCAAATTAAGGGGTTGCTCGAATTATCAAGAGCTCAAATTAGACAAATTTTACCATATTTCATAAATGCTCAGTCTGAAAAAATACCCAAATAATTGTGTAATCTTTAAAAAAAATCACTTAAAAGCTTCAATAGACAAACAGTGCTAGATTACGAAGACGAATTCGATGATACGGTATATGAGACTGGGTTTAGAAACAGCGCCCAACTAATCAATAAGAAATCCGGCGTGTACGATATAGAAGAAGGTAGCTCCGAAGAGGATGACGAAAGTGAGGAGGAAGAAATTGTTGATGATAAGGCGAAAGATATTATTATTAATTCAAAGGTTACAGCAAACAAAAATAATGATAATAATAATAATAAAAGTGGAGATAATGTTCAAAATAAAAATTTTAAGTACAAGGAACAAAACAAAAGTCGAGTTGGTAATCATAATCGCAAGCGTAAAAACGATCAAAAAATGTCGCGCGGAATGTTTTAATATTTATAAATATAATTTTTGCGAAAGAAGAATATAAACATTGTTGTTTGTTATATAAAATATCATTTATTTAATATAGTAAAACTAAATTATTATTTTTTTTATCTAAATCCTTAATCAAGGTTAATTTATCAAAATTTTGAGATTTAAATAAAATATTTAATAATTTTGTCTACTTATATTATTGTATTTGTATGTGTAAAGAATCCTGATTAAATTTAACTCTCATGACTTTCATGGAATATTCAATAAGTCACACAAATATTAGTTTATGGTCAACTATTGGAATTTTTCAATCTTATTTCAATATTAAATTTGAAAATAATATGAGCTAAAGGTTTAAATTTGGAATTTATTGGCAGCGATAACTATAGTGAATCGCAATGTGACCTTTTTTTGATGAGCATTTATAATTCTCATATATATATTCCCAAATTTTTTCCTTACAATTCTACAATTCCCTCAGATAATGAGCATTTATATTTCTCATATATATATATTCCCAAATTTTCCCCTTATAATTCTACAATTACCTCAGATAATTAGTATTTACATTTCTCATATATATATTCCCAAATTTTTCCTTTGATTCCTTCATTTTTTTACTACATTTTCATACCCTTATTGTTCTCAATTACTTTCGATGCTTCTTGACCTCCTTATTATCCTCCACTCTCTTTTAAACAAATATCTACCTTATAATCTACGAAACAACCCAATTTTTCATTAAATAAATCTTTATATTTATTCTTTAAATCAACCATATCATTCCATAATAGAAACAAATTATCTTCTCCTTCTTCTACCAAACTTTCACTTTTATTTTTTTCTCACCAATTTCACCGAAAAATTATGCGATCCAGGTAATTTTTCCCTCTCCAAATTTGAGTCTTTATAAATCTCATCACAATTTATATAATTATTCACCAGCCTTGATTTCCCTGAAATTATCTTAGTGTCTATTTCCAAATTAAAATTTTCATCATCAATTTCCAAAATATTATCAACTTTCAGATAAACCGAAATATTATCAATATTTTTTTCAATTTCTGGATTTTCCAAAATATTATCACTCCCAAATCAACCGAAATATTATTAATTTCCAAATCAATATTTTTCTCAATTTCTGTATCAGTATTATACTTTGTCAATTTTATTATCCAAAATATCAAGCTTCTCCTGACCCATTTCATATTTTTTCATTTTTCTGAATTTCCTCAGAATTATTTAATAAATTTTTAATTTCACCACTTTTTAGCATTTTATTTTCCAAAATTTCATTTTTTTCATTATCACAAATTTCCTGATTATTATTTAACATATTCTCAATTTTAATATTCTCTAAAATTTCATTTTTCCTTGAAATATATTTAAAAAAATATTTTCTAATCCAAATTTTGATATCCAATTCTATCCCAGAACTCTATTAATTTTTCCTTCCAATACCCAAAGATCCAAATTTATTATTTCTTTATTTATTAATACCGGTAAATTTACTTTTCCCAATACTATAATTTCCGATCCATTCAATTGTTTTGCCCTCATTTTAACTTTTATTATAGGTTCATTCGGCCATAATGTAAAATTCATCATACCCCATTATAGATATTGTTGCCCTGTAGCCAATAACGAAATTTCTTTATTTCCAACATTTACTTTTGCCCTAGGACATTGATCATAATTTTTATTATCTTTCAACTTTAAAATCGGTAAATTACATATTTGTATATTCTTTTGTGTTACATTTCTCAACATACTTTTATAAATCCCATAACTGTTACTTCCATCTCCTTTATTTTTTCTTTCTATTTCATTGAATTTTTTTTTTCTTGAATTATTTTATTTATGATATATACTAATTAAAAAGGGAATTGCAATTTTAGAAATAATTACATGTGTAATTAATAATTAATTACTGCCCAACTTTGTTACATTCTAATATATGATCGCCCAGTTTATTGGAAAAAATAGATAATTAAGTAGTTAATTTAATGTTATATTTAGAATAATCATATTTTGGTTATAAAATAGATGTCATCCTTTTTTTTAAGAAAAATAATATTAAACAAGATAAAAAAAATCTGACTTTTTATTATATCATTTTTAAAGAAAAACAAATATCATTCCATTCTTACATTTTAGATTCAGATGCTTTTTTGAAAAACGGCTGGATAAAAAATTTTAAAATTTCGCATATAGATGACAAAAAGATTTGACCCTCTTTATACAGGATTATAAATTATTTTTTAAACATGATTTGGCCATTGTTTAATAAGGGCCTGATTCGGAAAGGCGTGGCTTGCTTGCAACTAATCTTGAAGTTTTAGTTAATATTTTAATCATTAAGAAAAACTTATTGGTAAAGGTTAGTCACGCAATTAATTTATTTCTATGTCTAGGCACGCTTTAGAAAAAGAAAAAGGTAGTACAAAATCGAAATAACAATTTCATCATAGATATCAGTTAAAAATGAAATAATTAATAACAATCTTTGAACAGATCTTTGTAACTAATTTTTTTTTTTTTTAAAAATTAAAAATAATTAATAAAATCTCATCTCGTATCTTGGTCTACATATTTTGCTTATTCAAAAATTAATGACGATGTATCATTTAAAATAATTTGTAATGTATATGTCCACATTTATATCTCGCATAAAAAAATAACAGAAAGCATTACATTAGCCTTCACGAAACCTCCTTTTCAAGGAGCCAATATAAATAGAAAATTATTTTATATTACTTTTCTTTAGTTTATTAATACTTTATAACAATGGTAATATTTTATTTAAATATCATTAAATCCAAATTTCCACAAAATATAAAAATTACGTGAGAGAGAGGAAATTAATAAAAAATAGAAGAGAAAGATAGAGGAAAATTTATATTTTTAATGAGGAAAAATGTTAACCATCAGGTTAGATTAACTTAATGAAGCAAAATTAATTTAACTTAAGGCTATTGCTATCCTTTGTCTTAAAAAAAAGCCTTCAAGTGTTTTTAATATAATAGCAGAGTTAACGGGTTGACCTAATGTATCATGTCCACATAATTTAAATGGGAAAAGTTGTCATGATAAAGGTAGAGAGATCCAAATAAAAAGTTAACGAGAATTATTTTGCATTGCATGATAATCTATGTATTTTATATTTATTCGTCCTCAAAACAAGAATTAACTATATGATTTGTGGATGCAAAATTTTATTTTATTTTTTTCTAACGAATTACCACACCAAAAATGATCAATTTTGTAATATATTTTAATAATTTATTAGTAAATTAAATGTAAGTAACCATAAAATAAATATAGAATACAATTTTTAATCACTTTTAAAAATAGTGCGATATTCTGCGTGTTAATTAATTGTGAGGATATAGTTTATTTTTTTTTAAAAATACCATTTTCAAAATGTTAAAAAGTCGAAATTTTTATAAAGACACTTTTGTCCTTTATTACGACACTTATTTTCAATCATCATTATATTATTTTACATTTTCATAAATTGTATAAAAAATATATTTTTTTAAATAAGGGATTTTGATTCTAAAACAAATTATAAAATTGTCAGTATACATATTAATATAAATAAATAAAATACGAGGTTTTTACTAATTAAATATATTGCATATGTACTTTTTATAAAATAAGGAATATATTTTTTTGCTATTCTTTAATTTTGTTGATTCATTTTGCTTTTCATCTCCTTGTCAATTGCCTTGTAGTGAAACAAGCTGGATATATCTAATTTATCCAGGTACGCGATCGATTCAGAGAATAATTTGGTGTTCTTTAAAAATTAAAATATTATGCGTATACATCATATTCCTAATAAAAGGCCCGGATCGAGTTTAAAAATATTTTTTATAAAATCCGGGCCGGACTGAATGTTTTATTAGGATAAATTTAAATCATATCAATCACTCGGGTTGAAAAATCAATTAAAAATTTTCTATCATATCCAACAAAAAGTTAAACGCCTTTGAGAAAGGTATCATTAAAAAGTTTAAGAATTAAAATGCATAATACAGTAATCGATTATGCGCCCATAATGCCAGTATAAACTGATGGCATCGATACCTACAACTGATGACTTATTCATTAAAATGTGTACATACATTGAAGTCCACCATTGAAAGACATTTAGACGAAATGTGAAAGGCATTTAGAAGAAAGGTCTTTCAATAACATCTACTACAGCCAATGACATTGAATACAGCTGTTTTTCAATGTATGCATACTTCTAATAAATGAATCGTCAATCTAGATTAGTATCAATTGGTCATTGGGCCAAACTGGCATTCCCCCTTTCCCTGGGAAAAAAGCAAAATAATGACTCTAATTTCATCGCTTAAATCCCGTTTTTAGGATAATTATCGATGCACCTGTCTAGTTATTAGATTGCATCTAGTTAATAAGTTAATTATTATATTATTATATTATACAAACAATAATTCATTTTTAAAAAAGGGTAATTAATAATAGCTAATATTATACAAAAAAATCCAACTTTTGGCTGATTATAGCATTAGCCAAAGCTTTCAAACTAGTTTTAAAAAAATTAAAACACGATAAATTATTAGCAATAATCTTTGATAGCCTTTATACAAAAAAAATATATAATATATGGGCGTGGGGGAAATCTTTATTATTTTGTTTTTTAAAGGAGGGTAGTTTTAGTTTAGTTAAATTTTGGTCTTATAAAACAATTTTATTACGCTGCATTTATAGTAAGCGAGATTTTTTCAAACAATTCGAAATTAATCGCTAGCGAAATCACAGCCAATTCGCAAGGCTATGATACTTTTTGATATATACGGGAATAGCTATCGCGACTCCATCATTTTGCTCCTTATTTATAAATTATACCTATTATTAGCATAAATTACGCAACGAAACGGTAAAATCGCGACAACTGTTTACATATATATATATATATCAAAAAGTATTACAGCTGTAATTTAACATCGCTTGAGTAAATCGCGCTTACTAAAAATGTAACGTTATTATACCTCAAATACTGTCATAAGCGGTATGCTAGAATCAATGGCAGCTCTACGAATCAAGAAATTGTCGTGTACAAATTTAGTGTAATTATTTGGCAAATTAATTACCATTCCTATACCTCCATTTTGTATCAATCTAAAAAATAAATAGTCTTAGTTTACGTTCGTGACCCTTCCCCCAATTAACCATTAAATAATCTAATTAAACTAAAAACAATTATTTTAAAATATGTGCATTATTTATTTATTTAAAATTGAGTTTTTACTGTATAGGGTTTAAATTATATTTATGAGGTTTTGTCAGAGGCCAATCAACAGTCTTGGCTGGTATTCCATTTTTCTTCAAATATTCAGACGTATTTTCGGTAGCGTAAAACTGTAAATAAAAGTATCAAATTTATAAATTTTCGCGAGATTTGGGAATGATTCCTCATAAAAATATCCTCAATTTTTATTTTTATCTTAAAAAAATTTTTATTTCTTTTTTCAGAGCCGTTACTTTGAATTTAAAAAAAGGAACTTTGATATTTAACACTTGATAATTTGGTTATTTAAAAAGTTGAGGAAGAAAAGTGCTATGGATGTTGAATATGGAATATATTATTAATTTTGGAAGAACACAACAAATGTTAATATAGATATGTGTTTTTTTCTAAATCAAACTACTAACATTAATCCAACCAACAGAATCTACTCATTTAACATAGATATATAGTAATTTAAATTAATATAGGCCTTCCCTTACCTTATAATGTTATTAAATATACAGTAGTTTATAATTGTGGGCCATCAATTTTGGCCCATTCCCTTTAAATCAGCCCACCGACGTTTAAATAATAGTCCTTGGACTATTATGCGTGCAAGTACGTGCGTCTTGCCCAAAAAACGTGTAAAGGACTTCCCTATTTATTCCCGATTTTTTTTTATTAGCATCATGAGAAATACCTAAAGTAGTTCTGTTGTACCTACAACGTTTAAAGGGCGATCATGTAAAGAAAAAAAACGAAAACAGCTAATGATTAATGACGTTCAAATAAAAAATAATAATTTAATATTAATCGAAATTTTTTAAGAGATTTCCTTAATCAAATTTGAATTTTTATTATTTCTATCCTATACTATAATTTATTAATTTGAATATTATTATTCATAGATTAGCGTAATAATGGATATTGTTATTTCATTATTATCAACTGATTCTGATTTATCAGAATCATATGAATTAACATTACCATGGCCCAAATAAAATAAATAATATACAATAACTTCATATATTCAATAAACTAATTCTACCCTTACCAAAGGCAAAATGTGTCCAAAAAATATATCAGTTTCAAAATCTTCAAGTTCTAATTTAAAAAGATACTTGATTGTAATATTTATTATTTTATATAATAATTTATTTTAGATTGTTGTATTTCATAAGTTTTTTATTTTTAAGGTGATTATTTGAAATTTTGCTATTATTTTTAAGTCTTTATCAAAGGTTTAATTTTAGTAGTTGAACCCAATTTAAAGTATTATAAACTTGTATATTTTATTAATAATTATATTTTATTAATAATTAAATTTTATATGAGATATAAAAGTTTTTATATTAAAAATTAATAAGAAATTTTTTTTAATAAATAAAAATTTAAACTATTTATTTTAAACATGTCTGATATATTTGGGCTAAAAAATAAATGGTATTAATTTATATTAAATTAAATATTAAAATGAAATTATAAAAAAAAAATTCATAAAGTTTAAAACGAACGTGAACGCCTTCGATTTTTGTCAATAAACGCTTGAACGCGTTCAATTTAATAAAGATACTTACGGCACTAATTATGAATAATAACACTTTGAAAAAAATCATAAACAAAAAAAGCAATGGATTTATTATTATTTAACCTCGTAACCGTGAGAGTAAAACTTTTTGGCAATGGAAAGAAACGGTTTTTGAAAGGATTCTTGAATTCCTACTAAGATCGATTTAGTTTGCATGATCTTGAAACCTGCTGAGATGAGAGCTTTCAAATAGGCAGTGTGAATATTTTGGCCGAAGCAAGCCACCTTTTGAATAATAAGTATATAAGCCTCGATGGAAAAACAACTTTAGCCAAAAATAAATTATGTAAGCTTCGAGATTTCGTTAATAGATATCCATATCTCCAGACTTGCGTAATATTTTTGGCTATATCGGATTAGCCGTTTTAAAAAATCGAGCAATTATACAATACTAATTTAATATGGAAACTTTTCATCAATTATTCTGATTTATGAAATATTTCGGTATTTTATTATCTTTATTTGTCAATTCAATTGAGTTTGCTTAAAAAAAATCACTATTTTCTTCTTAAATTTTTAAAAAATTTAAGAAGAAAAAAGGAACGTTATTTCGTTCAAACGAATTAATATTTTAATGTTATTATAAAAAATAAATAAGTGGCATACTTCACCGGTGGATGCCATTTCGCATCTTAGCAGAGGGTCAACGCCTCCCAATCTGGGCCAAGAAAACATCGGAGCCTAAATATGTCAATTAAAATTTCAATTCTTATCAGGTAGTAAAAAATTATAAACGGGATTTAAAAATAAAATGATAGCTAGTCTGGGCTTAAACATTAATAAAACATGGACCTTATTCAAATTATAGCTTTTTAAAAAATTTTGTAAGTTAATTTAAACACAATTTTTTTAAAAAAATGGCGAAAGTTTCAAAGTAGGTCGTTTCTTTGAAATATTTTTTTTTATCATATGGGGTAATTACCTTGATGGCCACAAAATTAGGAATTTTAGGATTTTGCAACGTGGGTAAAGAATGATTTTTAATGTAAGCAGGTGTAAGAGGTATTCCCAGAAATATCATGGTAGCGATTTCTATGAAATCAATATCAAGCGTTTTCGAAACGAATGGGAAAGAGCGAGAAGCTCTAAGGTTCGTCTCTATCACCATTATGCGTTTATCGGCCACTAAAAATTGAACGTTGAACGGTCCCGAAATTTCAAATTTTTTGGCGATTTTCGCGGTTATGTTTCTGATCTGTCAATAAACATAATCTATTTGTCAGATTGAGAAAATTATAATAATAATAACAACCTACCATTTCCAAATGGATGATAGCAAACTCTAGAAAATGAGGTATAAAATATAATAACGCATGACTAATATGACTTATATATCATTTAATATTTATAAAATTATTAGCAGGGGACTATTGCACTCCAAATAAAGTTAACATATAGGTAAAGTGTATGTATAGAAAAACAATAATTCTTCAAAACTATGGCGCGGTAATATAGGTCATCAGGCGTGTTGTAATTTAAATACTTTTATAAAAAAACGGGAAATTATCCTAGATTTGTGGTAGTTTTATCATACAATCTTAAATTTTCGTAACATATTGGTATTTAGTGTCAATTAATTTAAAAAAAAAAACATTAAAAATTGATTTCAAACTTCGTCTGTAGTTTCGGGAGATAAGGTATGAGGCGGTAAGACCATAGTGGCATCTCCGCTGTGTATACCAGCGTTTTCAATGTGTTCAGATATGGCGTGAACGACAACCTTTAATAAAATAAATATGTAATTTTTTTTTAATAAAAACCTATTTTGAATAGTGTAGTAATATGATCAAAGACGAGGAACCGCTTATTAAAAGAAAAATTCATGATAGACATGATATGAAAACAATTGCATATTCCTGCGCTCAATTGGTATGGTATATTAAGATGAAGAGCTGCGTATTTTTAAACATTGTAATTACACATCATTTTAAATTCAAAAATTCAAGCTTATTTTTTTTTGTCAAGCATTTAAACAATTGTTAGTAAAATCGTATTATTAATTGTTAAGTAATAATGTAATATTATGTTAATCCATTTAAGGACATTATATGATTAATTACATTTATTTAGTTTAATAAGGCCTGTTGTATGTAATATTTAAGGATAGTAATTATGATTACAAATTACAGCTATAAGCTATAGTTTTTTTAATTAAAATTATACGAATCGTTTTCCCCATGTAACATACATATTTATTTATTTTATTCATACAATTATGACCAGATTTGTTGGAAAACATTTCCATATTGTTTAATATATTTAATAATAAAAAGATTTGACTTGCAAAAAAATGTTAAATAAAATTATTTAAATATTTTTATCAATTTTTACAAGTTAAAAATTTTTATTTACAAACGAATTAAAAAATATGAAAATGTTTTAAATTAAATCTGCACAACACTGTATTTTCTACTCATATTTTAATGGTCTTAATATTAAATTATCTTTTTGTATATTATTTTGCGGCTATAAATCAAATATTTAAAGTATCGATAATTGTAAAAGTTAATTTATTTTCTTGCTAAAATAATATTCAAATGTTTTTTTTATATCCAATTAACTTTTACCGAAAGATATACTTATAAATTGTGATAACTATCATTATTTTATTACTTAAATAAATATCTTTAATTCTTGTCTGCTACTATCTTAAAAATCCTTACAGATAGTATATTTGTAGTTAATAATATTAAAAAAAATTGGATTCAAAATTTTTTGATCCCCAATTTACGTTTAAATTTGAAATTAAGCTGCTAATTTAGTGAAATTGTCTCCCAATTATATAACGGTTTCTTTTGAAAGCGCAAACCCTCCATATATTAATAAGAACAAAAATAATGTTTAAATAAGAGTTTGTTATTTTTTAGAGATAGCGTTAAAATAGGGCATTTATTCAAACAATGAATCATTGCGTGAATTTCAACTTTCTAAATCAAATTTTTATATCAATTATATCGCGATTGAAAGGAATTTTCTTGGCAAACTAGTGAACTTCAATAACAATCTCATTGTTTATGGTATGGCAAGCATGTGATCATCGTTTTTAATAAATTCGTTCTTCTAAAATAGAGGTTATCCCCGTCCGAACCGGCCAGGGAAAATTTTCTATATGCTTTTTCGGCCCGGCTCGTAATATGTTTATATGGCGGCATAAATTTGCCAAATTAGCATTTTCGAAAAAAAAAATTCAAAAATTCGGCCCGACGCGTAAACATATGTTGAACTTGTTAGACCTATTATCTGACATACTCGATTATGATCGAACGATTATTCTATTTTTTTCTCCAAAAAGTTAATAAATAAATCTGATTGAAGCATAAAATCGCTTTTAGAATTTTAGTGAAAAACGAATAGAGAATCTGCCCATAGATACATTTTGCAATCTATATTTCACCCGATTTATTTATTTGTAACATACCAAAAAATATTATTATTTTCCCCATAAAGAATATGGGACTAGTTTTATATTCCAGTTATGTCGGATGGTGAAAATGCTTCGTGTTGGATCTAAATTTGGGAATTTTGCAAGTTTCCCAATTTATATCGTGATTAATAAAGTAGTTTATCAATGAAAATAGTCTAATTACTAACTTCGAAAAATAACAAATATAAAAAACAATATTATTTTTTTAAATAACTTATTATTTTAAACGATTTTTTTCGGGTGAATCAAAAATATTTTAAAACTACTTTTATGTTTAGTCTGGATAAAACCTGGATTTTTAAAATAAAGACATAAACCCACCGAATAATAAGAAAAAAACTGATTCTATTTTCCAATTCCATTAATATTTTATAATATTATTAATGTATTTCGTAGGTAACCTATTTTTTGTGGTTTGCAAATTAATTAAAAATTCTCTTTTTTAGTGACTGTTAAATTAAATGTAAAACAGTATATTTTATTTATCGAATCACTACGTAGCTTGCCTGTATCTATATCTATCTCATAGTTTTTTAATTTAATTTAATGGAAAAAAATTTTTTTTTATATATTAAGGTAGATGTTAAATTTAAAACATCTAATTTATTTGTAAGATTAGCTAAGTTAATATAATATAAATCATAAAAAGGAAATAATTATTTATTATTAACAAAAAATATTATTATTAACATTTAAATAAGATTGAGATGAAATTAAACTCCATTTAATTATTTTAATATATATATAAAAAAAAAATTTTTTAAACATATAAAAAACTTTTTTTAAAAAAAAATTAAAATGACTTCCCATTTTTATACCATCTTTAAATGTAATCGAGTTTCTTATATTTGCCTACACATTATATTCATCCAAAAATTAGTGATGATAGATCGTTTTGACGAACCCAACCAAATAAATCTTTGTAAGAATAATAAGCCTCTGCTTCATCTTTTTAGTAATCATAGCCTAGCAGGTTCAAAATCCTCCTCTAAAAAACAGAAAAGGGATGTATATGGAATATATGACGACGGAGGCAACAATGATATCAACATCATCATGTACGAGTATAAATCCAACCCAGCAGAAAAAGTCATAGATAAATATGAAACGCAGCATAGAAATAAAAGAATCTTCTATTCAACTGGTTGGGCTCCTGGGATAAATTACGGTCAAAATGATTGGCCACAAGATCAAAAAAAATCGAGAGAAATGAGTGTTACAAAAATCAAGGACGACGATAAAGAACAGCCGAACCTTGGAAATCCCATATATTCGAGGTCAGGGTATCCAATTGATAAATCAATCCCAGTATTTCCCAATTTATTCTCTTCATCTCACTGGGGACCGGGCAGAAAAAGGAGAAGAAAAAGAAGTGATTCGTGTACATTTTACAATAAGAGATGTTTGTTTATGTCTAGGGGAGTTGTTTTAAAACCACTTAAAAATCATAAGCAATCGGATACACTACCGGGGAAGAGTGGGAAAAATAGCTTCAAAAGAAAAAATTTTGGTGATGGGGTATCAAATCTCACGTTCCTTGTGTCAATTTTTAAACAGTTGGCCAGACCAATATGAAAGTAAGCTGGGTGTTTAAACCGCATTTTAAATAGCTTAAAATGTAACAATTCAAATAATGCTTATTGTTATTATTATGCTTCAATTATTTAAATGTTGCCATGATTTCAAGCTAATATATTGCTACTAAAATTAATTGATAACACTTTTAAATAAAAAGAGGAGTTATGATTTTATATATGTAGTTCAGAGCCTCTTCTTGGCTCGCAATTAAAATCGAATGCAAGGAAGACCGGGACACGTTGTGTTCGGGGGACGTCAATCAACTCCAATTAAAATATAAGATATTACTATAAAAGAATGGGAATGTGTTTTTGGCATACTAAAAGTAACAATTTTTTTAAAAAAACTTAATCATTTAAATTATTTATCATGCCTGCAGCACTGTCATTTTATAAGTAAAGCTTTTATGATCTCAATGAATAAATTTTAGGAAAGTTTAAACCATATTTTATTCTGTTCAGAATTATAATGATTTTAGTATAACTCTTAATGGCATTTATAAAGTCAGAGGACGAGATCATAGTCATAAAAAGTTTAGTGCACCGCTATTTTAGCTCCATTTATATATATGATTTTATGCGGAAACTATTATAATAAAATATTTTACAAAAAGGATAGTAAAATCTATTTCGCTAATAATTATGAAAGTGCTTTTAGAAAGCTGTCTTTTAAGTTTGACTGAATTAAAATTTTTTTAGATAAATATATATACCAAAATCAAATTAATTATTAGAAATATATATATTTAAGAAGAAGAATATGGGAAATACCATTTCCCTGGATTTTCCCATCATAAAAAGTATATTTTGATCAAAAAGAAGAAATTAAAATTTAAAATATTTTAAATAATTAATGATTTGCAACCAGTGGCATTGATAGTTTTTTTACTTTTACTTGAAGCGAATGCATTTAATAAAAATTCCAAAATTAACAAAAAAAATATCGAAAACAATACATAATAAAAAAAAGATATATCTTAACTTTAGAGCATAAAATCTGCCACAATAGACTCCTAAAGGAAGGAGATGCCAGCATTGCCGCCCCGCCCCATTCTTTTCTCGCTTCTCACCTCCCCCCTCCATAATTGTCTCCAATCCCAATTATCCAAGGCAAACATGGATGAAAATTCATCAAAATAACATAGGTGTATCTTATGGGAGAGTACCATTCCTCACACTAGTAATTTGAGTAGTAAGCTACATCTTATATGAACGTATTAAGCAGAGTTGTTAAAGTAGCGCGCTATCTTTTTTGGTAGCTATAGCTAATAGCGACTACTTTTTTTGTAATTATTTAATTTTTTAGCGCGCTACTTTTTTTGAAAGTAGCTAAGTAGCGCGCTACTCAACTACTTTCAAAAAATATAATGAAGGTAAGTATAAACATGAAAATTTAAATATAATATAATAATTTAATATCATTAATTATAATTTTTATGATTTATTATTTAGAAATTGAAATATATTTTCAATTTGTAATTATATTTTCATTTGTATTATAAACCTAAATCACGTGTTAATAATTTAAAATTTCATCGCCTATGGATATACAAATCGTTGAAAGTGATTCAGACAATGATATTAATGAAATGGAAGATACCAGGGAAGAAAATGTTCTTAATAGCTATAATAATACAAACTTGCCATTCCTTAGATTTGAAATTTTTTTAAATAAATATAATCCAAAACTGGCTTCAAATTTATTTGTTCAAAATGTAA